TTTATTGTTATATTCCCCATACAATTGCAGCGCCCCCATTCTGACCCCAATCCCTCCCTCCCGCCCCTGCCCCCCTAAAAGTGTCTCTGGTTCATAGTTTTTTGTTGATTTTGATTTTCACTTTCTTATAGTTATTCATTTTCCTGGTCCCTTATTTAAGTTTTCTAGATTCCTGCTATGAGTGAGACCATCCGGTATTTTTCTTTTTCTTTTTGGCTTATTTCGCTGAGCATGATCCCTTCCAGCGCCATCCATGTTGCTGCAAATTGCATGTGTTTATCTTTTTTGAATGCTGAGTAATATTCCATGGTATATATGTACCACATCTTCTTGATCCAGTCATCTATTTTTGGGCATTTGGGTTGTTTCCAAAGCTTAGCTATTGTAAACAGTGCTGCTATAAACATAGGGGTGCAGGTGTTCTTTGGAATGGATGTTTCTGTGTCCTTTGGGTAAATACCTAGGAGTGGAATTGCTGGATCATATGGAAGCTCTATGTTTAGTAGGTCCAGAAATCTCCACACAGCTTTCCACAGTGGTTGGACCAGTTTGCACTCCCACCAACAGTGCAGAAGAGTTCCTTTTTCTCCACACCCTCGCCAACATTTGTTGTTGCTAGTTTTTTTAATATGTGCCATTCTCACTGGTGTAAGATGGTATCTCATGGTAGTTTTGATTGCATTTCCCTGATGACAAGTGATGTTGAACATTTTTTCATATGCCTGTTGGCCATTTGCATTTCCTCTTCAGAGAAGTTTCTTTTTAGCTCTTCTGCCCATTTTTTGACTGGATTATTTTCTTTGTTGTTGAGTCTCATCAGCTCTTTGCAGATTTTTGTGATCAGTCCTTTATCATTAGTGTTGGGTGCAAAAATGTTCTCCCAGTTGGTGGGGTTTCTCTTTGTTTTTGTTATTGTCTCTTTTGCTGTGCAGAAGCTCTTTAATTTGATGTAGTCCCAGCTGTTTATCTTCGCCTTCACTATCACTGCTTTGGGTGATGTGTCTGTAAAGATGACTTTGATGTGCAAATCACGTAGTGTTTCGCCTATTTCCTTCTATATATTTTATGGTTTCAGGTCTTACGTCTAATTCTTTAATCCATTTTGAGTTGATTTTTGTGTATGGTGTGAGGTAGTGGTCAAGCTTCATTCTTTTGCATGTAGCAACCCAGTTTTCCCAGCACCATTTATTGAACAAACTTTCTTTGCTCCAATGCATAGTCTTTGCTCCTTTGTCAAAGATTAGTTGACCATAAATCTGTGGGTTTATTTCTGGATTTTCTATTCGATTCCATTGGTCTGTATGTCTGTTCTTGTTCCAATACCATGCAGTTTTGATGATTATGGCTTTGTAGTATAGTTTGAAGTCTGGGAGTGTGATGCCTCCATTCCCTTCTTTTTTTTCAGGAGAGCTTTGGCTATTCGGGTTTTTGTGATTCCATATGAATTTCATCAATAATTGTTCTATTTCTTTGAAGAATGACATTGAAATTTTGATTGGAATAGCATTGAATCTGTATATTGCTTTTGGAAGGATGGCCATTTTAATAATGTTTATTCTTCCAATCCATGAGCAGGGGATATCTCTCCATTTCTTTGTGTCTTCTTCTATTTCTTTTAACAGTGTTTTATAGTTTTCTTTGTATAGGTCCTTTACCTCTTTTGTTAGATTTATTCCCAAATATTTGATTTTTTTTGTTTTCAATAACGAAAGGGATGGTTTTTTTTTGATTTTTTCTTCTTCAGATTTATTGTTTGTGTATAGGAAGGCTACTGACTTTTGCGTGTTGATTTTGTATCCTGCCACTTTACTGAACTGATTGATGAGTTGAATTAGCTTTTCTGTGGAGTTTTTGGGGTTCTCTATGTATAATATCATATCGTCTGCAAATAGTGATAGTTTGACTTCTTCTTTTCCTATTTGGATTCCTTGGATGTCTTTCTCTTGTCTTATTGCCCTGGCTAGGACTTCCAGTATTATATTGAAAAGCAGTGGTGAGAGTGGACATCCTTGTCTTGTTCCAGATCTTAATGGAATTGCTTTCAGCTTTTCACCATTGAGAATGATACTGGCTGTTGGCTTGTCATAGATGGCCTTTATGATGTTAAGGTATGTTCCTTGTATCCCAAGAATTTCAAGGGCTTTTATCATGAATGGGTGTTGCACTTTGTCGAAAGCTTTCTCAGCATCTATTGATATTATCATATGGTTTTATATTTCTTTTTTTTGATGTGTTGGATAACGTTGATTGATTTTCGGATGTTAAACCATCCTTGTGTCCCTGGAATGAATCCCACTTGGTCGTGGTGAATTATCTTATGGATACATTGTTGGATTCTGATGGCTAAAATTTTATTGAGGATTTTTGCATCAGTGTTCATTAGGGAGATTGGCCTGTAGTTTTCCTTTTTTGTGTTGTCCTTGTTCGGTTTTGGTATTAGTGTAATGTTGGCTTCATAGAACGTGTTTGGTATTGTCCCTTCCTTCTCAATTTTTTGGAAGAGTTTGTGAAGGATAGGCACTAATTCGTCTCTGAATGTTTGGTAGAATTCATTTGTAAATCCATCAGGTCCTGGGCTTTTGTTTTTGGGGAGGTTTTTGATTACCATTTCAATTTCGCTGCTTGTAATTGGTCTGTTTAGGTGTTCTATTTCTTCTTTATCTAGCTTTGGGTGATTGTAGAGTTGTAGGAATTTGTCCATCTCCTCTAGATTGTTAAACTTGTTTCCATATAACTGTTCATAGTAGTTACTGATTATTCTTTTGATTTCTGCTGTGTCCTTAATTTTTTTTAACCCAGAAACAAGATTGCTATGCCTAGCAAAAAAAAAAAAAATTCTTATTAGCATTTTCAAATCCTTCCTAATTGCTTCCAATGCTTTTGCAGATTTTCACAAATCATAGATATCTTAGGAATAGATCAATGATTCTGTGTCCTTTCATAATTCTATAAATATGTATCTGACTCCCTTATATCTGTTGGTATTTGATTTGTTTCACGGATCTTATTGTTTTATGTCACTTCTCACAATGATTGATAATTCAAATCACTCTACTCACTTCATTATTACACTACAAAAACCTTTTCAGACAATGATCTTCCATTTGGCTTATGTCAGAAAATTTACACTGTATTTCCGTGAAGAGATGTGCATGCAGATACATTTGTTTTTTAAATGCAGTCTTGAGTTCCCTCACATAGTCACTTTGAGAAATCCATATTTTTTGATTGTTATCTAAAATGATTTTGATTTTGAAGGATATCTTATGGCTTTCTGATTTCAATGAATTCTGTACAGAGGGAATACCTGGCCCAGCAGAGGACTTAGGACTTGGCTGTAGCATTATGGTCATTCTAATTGGTGTATGCTGGTGCCATTGGGTTTAGTTTAATTAATATCACACTTGCTTGTACACATGAATCAGGATCTTCTCCACCAAAGAATTTTGTTTTAGCAGCAGATTTATCTTAAACAGTTATTTGATTCTTTCTTTTTTTAAAAAAGATTTATTTTATGCATACAAGAATTTGGGTGTAGGACAGAGTTACGGTAGGTGAGACGATTCACCAGAGACAGAGTTGGGGGAATTATGGGCAGATCTACTGAAAAACACTGATGAGGGTGAAACAGGAGAGGTCCGCTGTGCCATGTGGGTCAGCTCCCTGGTCGAAGATGGAACTTGTGTTGCAGTGGCTGCCAATAGTTTGATAGCGCTGTGTCTTTAACCTCTGCACCACCAGGGAGGCCCTAGTTGATTCTTTCAGTAATAATCCTTTTTTTCAGGGCCTCCCCGGTGGCGCAGCGGTTGAGCGCTGGGTTGCGAAGCTGCCCGCAGCCTCTGCGGCGCGGTTCGATCCCCGGCTGCTCCCGGGCCCGAGAGGAGGGTCCCACCATGGCGGCAGACCTCTCCTGCCCGCCCGCTGCTCCCCTCAGCAGTGTGCTTCGGTCCTTCTGCCTGCTCTGCTCCCGCTCTGGCTCTAGTGAATTCTCTCACCCTCCCGCGCTTCTGACTGTACCCAGTGCATGTATAAACAAACAAAAAAAAAAAAAAAAAAAAAAAAAAAAACAAAGAAGAAAGAAAGAAAAGAAAACATGCTCTATATAAAAATAAAAAATAAAAAATAATCCTTTTTTTCAGCCTTAAGAATTTTTCATCCATAAGTAAACTGTTATTATTACTAACAGTTTATTACTGTTATTAATACTAACAGTAATAATAACTAAACTGTTATTATTACCAAGCCCTATTTGACAGTGGAGAAAGATAAGTAAACATCTACATTTTAGGGAAATAAATTTTATTTTTTTAAATATTTTATTTTATATAATTCTTATATCATTTTTCATTTTTGGACAATGTATGCATTTTCATTTTGGTTTATATTCCCCATACAATTCCCACCCCCCTTATTTTGGCCCTAATCCCTCCTCTTCACCCCTCCCCACCCCCCATAGTGTGTCTCTGGTTTATAATTACTTGTTGATTTTGATTTTTTCTTTATTATAATTAGTCTTTTTCCTGGTCCCTTATTTAGGTTTTCTAAATTCCTGCTATGAGTGAGACCATTCGGTATTTTTCTTTTTCTTTCTGGCTTATTTCGCTGAGCATGATCCCTTCCAGCTCCATCCATGTTGCTGCAAATAAATTTTAATCTTGAAAATTTGTTTAGAGGATCAAATGATTCTACTATACAGATGCACTTGCAGGTTTAGGTGCCTTCGCACTTGTAAACTAAGAAAAGCTTAGAAAATTGATTTGTGAAGTATATCTGTATATATTTTAGTTTCTGATAGTTTACATCCTTTGTTATATCCACTGGAGTGGATAAAAAATAGGATAATATAATTTTAATAAAGAACAGCAGTGCTTTTTGCTCACACACAGCTATATAAACTTCCTCAAAATAAGGAGTTTCTTACAATTTTCCACTAAGAAAATCTATACTGCTATTCCTTGTTTTAGTTATTGTGATTTTTTAACATTTCTTATTTTCTGCAGGTATTCTTGGCGTCACCAACTAAGGGAATTTAAAAGTGAATATCGAGTTGTAGCTCTGGATTTGAGAGGTTATGGAGAAACAGATGCTCCCACTCATCGAGAGAATTATAAATTGGACTGCCTAATTACAGATATAAAGGATATTTTGGACTCTTTAGGTAGGTTGTTTTTTTTTTCTCAAATTACTGTATTGTACATAACATTTTTAAATTGTATTTTTTACATCATTCTTCATTTTTGTATAGTATATGCTTTCTCATCTCGGTTATAGTTCCTGTGAAATTCCCACCACCAATTAACCCATATACCATCACCATAGTCCCTTGCACTCTTGTTTTTAAAAAGCATTAATTATTTTCAAGGGGCTAACAGTCAACAAACTGTATAATGATAACCTCATTTCTTGGAAGAATGTATTTTCTATCTATATCAACTGTGATCTTTATCCTGTCACCATGGTTTCAGGTGTGAAGACTGAAATATTTATATAGGGAATTTGAAATAACACATCCAGAATGACTATTCAGTCCATCAGCCAAGAGCAACTTTCAATTATGTTTTTAAAGATAGATATAATGATGTTTTTTATTATATTCAGAGCCAATTATTGGAAATCTTATTCTTATACTCAGAAGATTTATTTCTTTAGAACCAGGGCCTAAATGTTTGTTTTTAAAAATATCACATGAGGCAGAAGCATTTGTATTATCTTTCTTGTATTCACCAGCTGGTGTCACAACAATACGGTGTAACATACCACCCCAAACTCAGTGGCATACAGCCTCTGCTCATGGGTCTACAGATTCACTATAGACTGGACTGGATGCCTTTGAGTCTTTGCCTCAGGCCACAGATCCTGCTAGAACTGGCTTCTCAAGCTAAAGGATAGTGGTAATGGTAGTAGTAGCCCAACTGTTAAAGCATATGCAAGTTTCCATTAGCTGTCCATTTGCCAAAGCAAAACATGTGGCTGAGCCCAAAGTCAAGCCCCACACTGACCATGAAACCAAAGCAAATCACATGGCCAAACCTGATATCAAAAGTGCAGTGATAGGGCCTCCCTGGTGGCTCAAGGGATTAAGTGTCAGCACTATAAAGCTCCAGGCAGCCACTGCAGCACACGTTTGATCCCAGGCCGGGAAGCTAACCCATATGGGGCAGCAGACCTCTCCTCTCTCACCCTCTGCTCCCCTCAGCAGTGTATTTCAATACCTGTTCTGCTCCCCACTCTCTCTGATCTACCTGTTCTGCTCCCCACTCTCTCTGGTGAAGCCTCTCACCCCCACCATTCCCCCACCTCTCGCTTACACCTCAGCTCTTGTATGCATAAATAAATAAATTCTTTAAAAAACGCAGTGAGAGGGCCTCCCCTGGCAGCTCAGCGGTTGAGCGCTGGGCTGCCTGCAGTCTCTGCAGCGCTGGTTCGTTCCCTGGCCTCCGGTGAGGGTCCCACAAAAAAAAAAAAAAAATCAAACATGCAGTGAGAGAAGGGGGAGTAAATATATCTTAAATGTAATCTAATTCACTCCATCCCTTTGTTGACTAAAGTCCAGCTGTTGCCAACATTATGTTAATTGAGCCAATATAGTGAGAAACACCAGGAAATCAAAGGCACTTTCTTCAGTATCTTTCTCCAATCATCTAATGAGATTATTGCAGCTCAGGTGAATATTCTTAGAGGAAAAAAAGATGATGAAATCTGGGCGTGTCAATGCCTTGTTACTAATTGCTCTGATTATAATAAAATAGATTCAGAGACACTGATTCCAACAACCATTTTTATTTCATATTTTGTGGTAATTCAATCATACCTGGTCTAAATCTGTTACCTCTTAATTTTCTGCATAAATCAATAATATAAATAAGATGCGTATGTGCATTTGTCTGTGTGTGCATGCATGCAGTTGTGTTAATATAATGGTGGGGGTGATGGTGAGAAATACTGGGAAAAAATAAGTAATTTTAAGTATTCTAAGCATAAATTGAATCTTACCCATCCATATGAAGGAAATCCTGTAAGATTATCAGTTGTTATTTTAACGTAATTCAAATGACTCTAATAATTACTTGAAATGAAACTGTAATTGGTGCTAGAATTAAGATATTCCACTAATTCAATTTGGCTTTGTAGTAGAAGCAGGCACAGGGCAGGCTGAGGGTCAGGAACCAGGGGACCAGGAGGTTAACAAGCCTCCCAGCCCCCAGCATATCTTTACTCTCTCTGGGTTTTCTGGCATCTTATATGCTCAGCCTCCAGGTTCAGGTGTGCCCACTTATTCATGCCCACACCATGCTCCAGGCGTCCACCATCAGACATGTGTACACCAAGCCCATGCTCCCAAGCGCCTCCTGCATTCAAGGCCACAGGTGATAGCCACAGAGGCCAACAAGTACAAAAGCCTGAGTAATCTTCATTTACCCTACAGCTTCACGGTTTAAAATTAGTGACATTTTACTGTGTTGAGTTGTAGCATTGGATTTCTGAAGCTAGGGAGAAAATAAATGCTTCTTGGAAATAAAGATTACCAGTTGGACACAGAAGGGTCATTTATGATTTTTCTGTAACTAGAAATTTCTCAACATTCAAAAATAACTCAATCTCACTTTTGATCTAATTATATGTAGTCTTTGCTATGTTTTCCAAACTCAAATTCATGGAACCAGATCTGAGACGGCTATTTCAGATTCTTAAAAATAAATAAATCCCTGGAAAAGAGTCTGAATTTATAGGTTTAGAGTGGAGCTTGGGGGCCTCCCCGGTGGCGCAGCGGTTGAGCGCTGGGTTGCGAAGCTGCCCGCGGCCTCTGCGGCGCCGGTTCTATCCCCGGCTGCTCCCCGGCCACCAGAGGAGGGTCCCACATGGCGCGCAGACCTCTCCTGCTGCCCGCTGCTCCCCTCAGCAGTGTACTTCGGTCCTTCTGCCTGCTCTGCTCCCCACTCTGGCTCTGGTGAATTCTCTCGCCCTCCCGCGCTTCTGACTGTACCCAGTGCATGTATAAACAAAAAACGAACAAATAAATAAATAAATAAAACATGCCTCTATTAAAAAATAAATAAATAAATTAAAAAAAAAAAAATAGAGTGGAGCTTGGTTGAGCAGCAAAATTTCCTAAAACACTACCTAGATAATTCAGACATACAAGTATTAGAATACCACTCAGTATTAGCAAAAAGTACATAATGAAGGTAAGATAGTGGAAAGATCAATTTCAGAAGCAGGTCTGTTCTCTGTGAGGCAATGATGCACCCACTTGTTTCTTTCCAGTGATGTCAATATTTATTTCTTGATTACAGGATATAGCAAATGTGTTCTTATTGGTCATGACTGGGGGGGCATGATTGCTTGGCTTGTTGCCATCTGTTATCCTGAAATGGTGATGAAGCTTATTGCTGTTAACTTCCCTCATCCAAACGTATTTACAGGTGAGTTTATATTTTCATGAAAACATCTTTGCCATTGTGACAATTCATTATTGCCATTGAAACTTTGGATTAAAAACAAATTGTGATTAATATTTTAAAAATCAGATGACTAAAATAGGATATTACTTGGCAATATCAGATATATTGGCTGTAAGTGTCCCTGAAGAGTCTGAGAAAATTTAACTTCATATTTGCTTAATAATTTTATTCATTTTTCGAAAGCATTTTACTACTAAAATGGGGGAAAGAAAGGGGAAAATATGGTGACATTACTTTGACAGTAATGACTCTTGACAGCTTTGAGATAAATTCTTCCTTTGCCTGACTGCTTTGACTATTAGAAATGGCAGTATACTTTGAAGCAGCAGTTCTCAAGTTTTGGGTCTCAGTACTTCTTTATTTTCTAAAAAATTAGTAAAGGCCCCATGATTTTTTGTTTATATGGGTTATTTCTATACTGTATTAGCAGTGAAAAATGAGAATTAAAAATATGTATGTAATCATTTTTTTAAAATAATAAATTCAGTACATGTTAACATAGATAACATTTTGATGAAAGCTGTCTTCTAAAACAAAATATCAATAAGAAGAGTGTCACTGTTTTACATTTTTGCAAACCTCTTTAATTTTTGGCTTAATAGAAGACAGCTGGATTCTCAGATCTGCTTCTGCATTCAAGCTGTTGCAATATGTTGTTTGAATTGAAGTATGTGAAAAAAATCTGGCCTCACACAGATTTGTAATTGGAAAAGGGAGGAGTATTTTAATAGCCTTTTCTGATAACTATGGATTTTCTTCTTTAATATTACACCAAGCTCAGAAATTGGTGGTTTCTTAAAGGTTAGTAACAATACAGAATCTGATGTCATATTAATGAACTTTTTGTACTCTGTTACATTAAAATCCATTGATCTTTCTAGAGCTTTGAATGGATTTTTTACTCATGCATGATTTTGCTTTATCATGCACTGAAAGACATTGGTTCATTGAGTTTTGCAGATCTTCCATCCGTTGACATATTTTATTATACGATATCAAAGAATCACATTCATCAAAATCACCCCAATCTTATTTTTTAAAAAGCCTTTAAGTATTGCAAAGCTGTCAAGTCACAGTTGCAGATACAAGTTTCCAAAATTCTAACTTTCATTTGAAAGCTTGAATTTTATTATTGGTAACAAATACTGTTGATTGTTTTCCCTCAAGTGACAGGCTCGCTTTGTTCATTTTTAAGACTATGTGCCAAATACTCAAGTTTGACTGATAGCTCATTAGTCATTCTTTCAAGTAAAAGTAGTGTGTCAGAAGGAATGCAGTAAATTCAACTTAACTCAATTTTGGCAGTGCCTTTCCTCATACAGCCATTGTAATAGATATGCAACAGAATTGCATTATGTGTATTTTCTGTTTCATCACAAAGAATGTTAAAAAGATAGGTTCACAAAGAATGTTAAAAAGATATGCAACAGAATTATATTATGTGTATTTTCTGTTTCGTCACAAAGAATGTTAAAAAGATAGGTGCTCAAATGCCAAAATTTAATAAAATTAATAATTGTTATTCCGTGAGCAAAAATGACATTTATGCATTTATGTATTTATTTAATAACTTTCTACAAGTGTGTGGTAGTAAAGAATACAATGAATTATTATATTTACTACTGTTACTGCTGTTTTAACACCACTCTCTAGATTTGAGCTAAATCGGCAGTGGTTTTATTGACCATGCTTTTGTACCATCAGTGCAAATGTAACCAAAATGAAAAAACTAATGGTCTTAGTATTATTTTGAAATAATTTTGACTACCCAGAACCTTTGAAAGGGTCTTGGTGATCCCCAGAGGTCCACATAAACTATACTTTGAGAACCTGTGATTTATTTTTTTTTTTTTTTGAAGAATTGTGTGCCAGAAGGTACTTTCCATTAAAGCATTTTCTTCTTTGTGTTTTGTTTTTTTTTTTTAAATAGAGGCATGTTTTTTTTTTTTTATTTGTTTGTTTGTTTGTTTGTTTATACAAGCACTGGGTACAGTCAGAAGTGCGGGAGGGTGAGAGAATTCACCAGAGCCAGAGCGGGGAGCAGAGCAGGCAGAAGGACCGAAGTACACTGCTGAGGGGAGCAGCGGGCGGCAGGAGAGGTCTGCGCGCCATGTGGGACCCTCCTCCGGTGGCCGGGGAGCAGCCGGGGATTGAACCGGCGCTGTAGAGGCTGCGGGCAGCTTCGCAACCCAGCGCTCAACCGCTGCGCCACCGGGGAGGCCCGAGAACCTGTGATTTAAAGGGAATTCTTAAAAAAAAAAAACAAAAAAACTTGGGTGATTAAAAACCTATGAACAAAGATAAGGCGCATTTTTATTTGGTTTTGGCTAAAATTACCATTTTTGTCTCTTTAAGTTTTCTGAGGTTCAGATCCTGCTACAACTCACAGAAGCTCTCTAGAGAACAAAAAATTCAGAACAGTTATTTCTAGTTCTTCCTCAAAATTAAGCAAATGAGAAGGGAAGAGACCATGATTACATAAATACTGTGTATGTAAGTGTAGGAGTTGAATTTTAGATGCGTATCCAATCGTCCTATTTTTTGTTGAGGCAATGTGATGGAGGCATAGGATTCAAATATGAAACTGTGATTTATTATATTTTTTCAATTGCTTTAGGCAACAGAAGTCATGTTACATGTTTGTTCAATTGTGCAGGTTATGGACAAATTCTGATTGTTTCAGCAAGAGGATACTAGGAATATTTCTGGAACCATCTTCACAGTAATAGGTTTAATCCTAATCAGGTCAAGATAAGGTCTTTGAATAATATGCCTATGTTTTCCCATTAATTATTTTTTTAAAGATTTATTCATTTTTATACAAGAACCCGGGTACAGGCCAGATGCGCGGGAGGGTGAGAGGATTCACCAGAGACAGAGTGGGGAACAGAACAGGCAGACTGACGAAATACACTGCTGAGGGGAGCAGCGGGTGAGACAGGAGTGGTCTGCTTCGCCATGAGGGATTCTCGCTGGCCAGCAGCGATTGAATCCGCTGCTAAAAAGTATATTTCTAAAAACCTACCTAAAAAGTATATTTCTAGGGGCCTCCCCGGTGGCGCAGCGGTTGAGCGCTGGGTTGCGAGGCTGCCCGCGGCCTCTGTGGCGCCGGTTCGGTCCCCGGCTGCTCCCCGGCCACCAGAGGAGGGTCCCGCATGGTGCGCAGACCTCTCCTGCCGCCCGCTGCTCCCCTCAGCAGTGTACTTCGGTCCTTCTGCCTGCTCTGCTCCCCGCTCTGGCTCTGGTGAATTCTCTCGCCCTCCCGCGCTTCTGACTGTACCCAGTGCATGTATAAACCAAACAAACAAACAAATAAATCATAAATAAATAAAAATACATAAAAAAAAGTATATTTCTAAAAACTCTAACCATGTTGAAAATAAAATTAACAATATGAAAAAAAGGGACTTCTATAGCAAGGAAATGTATAATACACAATACACAATAAGTTCAATTTTTTTAAAGATTTATTTATTTATGCATACAAGAGCTGAGGTACAGGCCAGAGGTGTGGGGGGTGAGAGAATTCACCAGAGACAGAGTGGGAAACAGAACAGGCACATTGACCGAAGTACACTGCTAAGGGGAGCAGTGGGCGAGTCAGGAGAGGTCTGCTGCGCCATGTGGGTAGCTCCCTGGCCATTTGGGGGATCGAACTCGTGTTGCAAAGGCTGCAGACAGCTTCACCGGTTGTGTTTTAACCCCTTGCACCAGGGAGACCCAAGTTCATGTTTTTTAATACAGATAATTACATCACACTGAAATGTAAAACTTCAGTGTCTTCCCAAAACTCTTAAAATCTTGGTCCTACCTGACTTTTTTTACCTGGCTTTTCTTTCTGACTCATCTCATGCCATTTCTCTTTCTGCTTCTATCTGCTTCTATCTGCTTGAATGTGTCAAATCTAGGATTTAGGTCCAGTTCTGGAAGGTTATTCTTACATTTTTGCATTGCTGATTCCTTCTATCATTCAGATTTCAGCCCACATACCGTGTTCCCAGAGAGGCTACTCTGACCACTTCAATTAAAAAAATTCCTCCAGGGTCTCCCTGATGGTACAGGCATTAAAGTCTGAGTGCCATCAAGCTATTGCCAGCCACTGTGGCATGAGTTTGATCCCCAGCCAGGTTGCTAACCCACATGGCAACAGATCTGTTGTCTTGCCTGCTTCTCCCCTCAGCAGTGCATTTTAGTAGATCTACCTGTTCTGTTCCCCACGGTCTCTAGTGAATCCTCTCACCTCTCTGGTGAATCCTCTCACTCCCCACATCTCTGGTTTACACCGCAGTACTTGTATGCATAAATAAATAAAAAATAAATTAAAAAAAAAAAAGTTTCTCCACACCATACCACCACCACTCTCAATCATATTATCGTGGTTTATTTTCTTCACGGTATTATTGCTCTCTAAAATGATCTTTTAAGTATTTATTATTAATTGCACAAGTTCTTCATTAATGGGAATTATTTTTTTCTTATTCACTGCTAAATTCCCTCATACACAGTAAATGTTCATATGTTTGTTGAATGAATGAATTGTCTGATATGCAAATAAATTTATAGAAAGTACTTCAATTTCCATTGAGGCCAAATGAATAAGATCATCAAGTCAGCCTATAACATAAACCTTTTAAACAATAGAAAATTACCTCCTCGTGTATCTCTACGAAAAGTATTAGTTTGTTGATAATAACCTTGAAAAAAAGGCAGTGTTATTTGGTTTCCTACTCTTTTCTGAGTTGACTTCACAAAGTGAAACTCTTTATTATCTATAATGTTATAAATTTCCTAAATACCAGAAATATTCATTAGAAAATATAGGCCCATAAAAATCTTTCCAAGAAAAAATATACAGAAGACTTATTTGTGGATTCTTTTATGGGATCATCTTAAAGGTTAGACTGCCTTAGAAAGGAATTCTTTCAGCAATAAGTTATTTATACACCTTGGAGAAGGTCTAACATGGCATTTTAATTTCAGAATATATCTTACGACACCCCACCCAGCTGCTCAAATCCAGTTATTACTACTTCTTCCAGCTACCATGGTTCCCAGAATTTATGTTCTCAATAAATGATTTCAAGGTAAGTCAAACAAATAGCGTATGCTTGTTAATGAAAAACATTTTTTTAAACAATTATTTCATAGTTCTGTCTCTTCTTTTTTTAAAGATTTATTTATTTATTTATTTATACAAGCACTGGGTACAGTCAGAAGCTCGGTAGGGTGAGAGAATTCACCAGAGCCAGAGCAGGGAGCAGAGCAGGCAGAAGGACCGAAGTACACTGCTGAGGGGAGCAGCGGGTGGCAGGAGAGGTCTGCATGCCATGCGGGACCCTCCTCTGGTGGCCGGGGAGCAGCCGGGGATCAAACTGGCACCGCAGAGGCTTCCGGCAGCTTTGCAACCCAGAGTTCAACTGCTGTGCCACCGGGGAGGCCCAATGAAAAACATTTTAAATGAATGTCCATCCTTAAGAAAGAAAAATAGACAAATGCCACAACTTAGGAAGTGCTTCTAAGACCTCATCTATAGACTTGCTTTTTTTTTTTTTTTTTTTTTTAATGGTATCTATTTGAGTGCCTGGTCCTTGTCCAATTTTTTGTGAAGAAAGCCTGTGCCCCTTCAGGTATACTCTCTCTAGAGAACATCCCAGGAGGGAATATGAATACCAGATGAGAGAGTTTGATAGCAGCAGAAGTAGAAACCGTTGGAGCAACAAAAGCCAAAACAAAGTAGGCGTGCAGGTATTGGTATGCTATGTACACTGATTCCAGGAGACTTAATATCTCTTTCTTGGAAGCTTGTTGGATATTTCTTGTATGTCCAAAGAGGCATTAGATATTTAGGAAGGTTAAAAAACGAAGTATCATTTTGCCTTGAAAGAAAGATTTCCCCCATACATCTTTGACAGTTTTTTTTTTCTTTTTCTTCTTCTTTTTTTTCTTTACATAATCCCAATGCCCTTATCAAACCTACCAAAATGAGCAACTCTTTCATATCACTTAATAGCCATTCAAATTTTTTTTACTATCTCAACTATCTTCTAATTTAACTGTTTGAGTCAGGGACCAAACAAAATCCACACATTGTATTTGATTATTATGATATTTTCAAATTTATAACAGTTGCTTTTGTTTCTTGCTTTTGGGAAAAAAAACAATTAGACTGATTTAAGATCTTATTTAATTTTAAATTTGATCTCTGTGTGGTTTGTCTCTTGGGTCATTTTCCACAAAATTCTGAGATGCTATAGGAATGCGAAGGTTTCATTTCAAGGTTTGGGCCTATATAAGGCTCTGTGAAAGGACTGTACATTATGGGATAGCCCTGTGTTGTCTTATGCCACCTGGAAAAAACTCTCAGAGACTGACCTCCAGGGGGTATTCATATGTTGGATTTTTTTTAAAAACACCACTTTTTGGTTGAAGAAATTTCATCATTCATCCTGAAGAGTGATCTCTATTTTAGATTTGACTGACTGCTTTATCATGATGTTATTTAACTTGTTCTTCTAAACCTTGTTTTTCCTAATTCATAGATGGTACTGATCTAGAAGCTTGATTAGATTAAACTTTAATTACACAAGAATATTTTATAGGTAGTGCTGTTTATTTCCTAATGCATCACTTTGGAGAAACACACATAATGCCTAGTTATCCAGTTTCAGGAATGTTGGCACTAACCAGTAGGCTCACAAGTTGTCAGCTTATCCAAAATTAACAACCTGTCACCAAATAATTTTAGTATACCTTAATTATCATCACACTAGATCTGTTATTTCATAAAGGAGTGTAAAATGATTTTCTAATTCTGTTATTCTTGTATCAGTTCTTGTGTAAAGAACTTTTCTCTACTATTGGATTATTCTGAAGTACACTTCACACAAGGATAACAGGATAAATGCTTCATTGTTTCTCTTATTAGACCACTTCCAGGGTAATGAGTTGGTGTCCTAGAAACCTCCAGTAATGACCAGTGATTATATGTGTATATACATATGAGTGTATATGTAGATATTATTAACTCATGAGTCTTTAAAGTTATATTTCATATGTAGCAATTTTAGTCATTATTGTTTTTATAAACCAAATTATGCCATATTAAGCCAGTGAGGACCAACTGAGATTTACTCCTGTGTTCTTTTGACAACCCATTAGTCAGTGATAACTTGCCTCCTTAATGTCCTAGGTTTATTTTTTATATCAGGCCCCACATCTGGAATCGGTCATTTATCAAAGTAAGTAGTATTTAGGGAGCACAGTCTGGGTAACATATTGATCATTGTTACTGGGTTTGAATTACTTCTAGAACTTTCCTTTGACCATACTTTTTTTTCCCAACAGAAAAAAAAAATGAGTTTTTATTTATTTATTTATTATTATTATTTTAATTTTATATGTTTTTACATCATTTTTCATTTTTGCACAATGTATGCATTTTCATCTTGGTTGTAGTCCCCATACAATTTCCACCCCCTCTTGTTTTGATCCTACTCCCTCCTTCCCCCAACCCCGTAGTGTGTCTCTGGTTTATAGTTGCTTGTTGATTTTTATTTTTACTTTATTATAATTAGTCTTTTTCCTGGTCCCTTATTTAGGTTTTCTAAATTCCTGCTATGAGTGAGACCATCCAGTATTTTTCTTTTTCTTTCTGGCTTATTTCGCTGAGCATGATCCCTTCCAGCTCCATCCATGTTGCTGCAAATTGCATGAGTTTATCTTTTTTGATTGCTGAGTAATATTCCATTGTGTATATGTATCACATCTTCTTGATCCAGTCATCTATTTTGGGGCATTTGGGTTGTTTCCATAGCTTAGCTATTGTAAATAGTGCTGCTTTAAACATATGCTCTTCTGCCCATAAAAAATGAGTTCTTACTCATATATCCAAGGCAAATTTAAGGCTGCTAGATTTTTACTTAATCTCCATGATTTTGTATAAAACATTTATAAAAACATTTATGTAGTTTGAGGTTAAAACGCTAAAGCAAGGGGTATTCAGAGAGCGCTCACATCTCTGTTCCCTGTTTCTGTTTCTTCCCTCTTCTCTGAAAACATTTGGTTAGTTTTTGTTTTATCTTTTTAAAAATATAAATAAATATGTATATATTTTTCTCCTTCTTAAAGGATAACATACCATAAACACTATTTTCCATACTTGCTTTTGATTTTCACTTAACAATATTTCCAAGAGATCACTCCCATATTAGCATGTATATCATCTCCATTATTTCTTGGAGTACTAAGAACACATAATATACCATTATGTGGCTATATCATCATTTATTCAACCAATCCCCCACTGGTGATTATTTGACTAATTATCAGTTCTTTTCTGTTACAAATAATGTTGTAATTAATCACCTCATGTATATATTGTTTCATATTTTTACAACTGTGCTTTGGGATTGAGTGATAAACATTTTAAACAAGAATCCTAATTACTCTGATGAACCATAAATCTATGGTTTAGATTCATACTTTGAGAAATGCTGGTGCAGAGTAGTGTTTTTCAAGTTGTGGGACAGGAGCCATTAGTGAGTCATGAAATCCATTTAGTAGCTTGCATTTTTAATTTTTTTTTAAATAAAGTTGAACAGAATTGAAGAGTTACACAATATCATAGAGTATAGTAAAGCTATTTCTTTAATCTTTTCGTTTCCAAAATATGTATGTAGGGGTATCAACTGAGTATGATATAACATGTGTTAGTTACTCTGGGTTGTGGTCAAAAGAAGTTTGAACAACTTTGGGGGAACTGGATTGTTATCAGTAAATGGAGGATAAACTGTTAGTAGCTGGACTATTAGGGAAGGTTTTAGAATAAGAATGAGCTTGGCCTTGTAGAATGCAAATACGCACCAACAAGATGGGATACTTTTTATAAAAGTGAAGTGTGAATGGGGGATTGGAAGGGAAAGGGAAGAAGCCAGGAAAGCAGAAATGTATAAAATGTATATAAGCAATGGAGTCCTTACCCGGACTAGAGCAGAAATTGGGAGTTGTCACTGCATATTAATCATCATTCCCTTTCAAAGTCAAGGGTTTAATTTATAATTAGGTAACTGAAAATTTTTAATTATTCTCTTTCACTTAATTAGGCTTTGAAGCATCTGTTTACCAGTGACAGCACTGGTATTGGAAGAAAAGGATGTCGATTAACAACAGAAGATCTTGAAGCTTATATTTATGTCTTTTCTCAGCCTGGAGCATTAAGTGGTCCAATTAACCATTACCGTAATGTCTTCAGGTCAGCATGATTTCTTTTTATGAAATATTTCATTCTCACCCTATAAAGTCAGTATTTTATTTTTAAGACTAAGTTCACTATTTATCTAAAGTATTCTGATTTAAAAAACTGCATGTTTTTTTTAAAGATTTATTTATTTATTTATGCATATAAGAACTGGGGTATAGGCCAAAAGTGGGGGGGAGGGATGGGTCAGGGGATTCACCAGAGACAGAATGGGGAACAAAACAGGCAGACTGACTGAAATACGAGTCAGGAGAGGTCTGCTGCGCAATGTGGGTCACCTCCATGTCTGGGGATCAAACTTGTGCTGCAGTGGCTTCAGAGAGCTTCATAGGTTGCGTCTTAACCCCTTGAGCCACCCGGGAGGCCCTGCATGGTTATTTTTTTTTTTTTTTTTAATAAATTTTATTGTTATATTCCCCATACAATTGCAGCCCCCCCATTCTGACCCCAATCCCTCCCCTCCCACCCCCGCCCCCCTAAAAGTGTCTCTGGTTCATAGTTTTTTGTTGATTTTGATTTTCACTTTCTTATAGTTATTCATTTTCCTGGTCCCTTATTTAAGTTTTCTAGATTCCTGCTATGAGTGAGACCATCCGGTATTTTTCTTTTTCTTTTTGGCTTATTTCGCTGAGCATGATCCCTTCCAGCGCCATCCATGTTGCTGCAAATTGCATGTGTTTATCTTTTTTGAATGCTGAGTAATATTCCATGGTATATATGTACCACATCTTCTTGATCCAGTCATCTATTTTTGGGCATTTGGGTTGTTTCCAAAGCTTAGCTATTGTAAACAGTGCTGCTATAAACATAGGGGTGCAGGTGTTCTTTGGAATGGATGTTTCTGTGTCCTTTGGGTAAATACCTAGGAGTGGAATTGCTGGATCATATGGAAGCTCTATGTTTAGTAGGTCCAGAAATCTCCATACAGCTTTCCACAGTGGTTGGACCAGTTTGCACTCCCACCAACAGTGCAGAAGAGTTCCTTTTTCTCCACACCCTCGCCAACATTTGTTGTTGCTAGTTTTTTTAATATGTGCCATTCTCACTGGTGTAAGATGGTATCTCATGGTAGTTTTGATTTGCATTTCCCTGATGACAAGTGATGTTGAACATTTTTTCATATGCCTGTTGGCCATTTGCATTTCCTCTTCAGAGAAGTTTCTTTTAAGCTCTTCTGCCCATTTTTTGACTGGATTATTTTCTTTGTTGTTGTTGAGTCTCATCAGCTCTTTGCAGATTTTTGTGATCAGTCCTTTATCATTAGTGTTGGGTGCAAAAATGTTCTCCCAGTTGGTGGGGTTTCTCTTTGTTTTTGTTATTGTCTCTTTTGCTGTGCAAAAGCTCTTTAATTTGATGTAGTCCCAGCTGTTTATCTTTGCCTTCACTATCACTGCTTTGGGTGATGTGTCTGTAAAGATGTCTTTGATGTGCAAATCACGTAGTGTTTCGCCTATATTTCCTTCTATATATTTTATGGTTTCAGGTCTTATGTCTAGTTCTTTAATCCATTTTGAGTTGATTTTTGTGTATGGTGTGAGGTGGTGGTCAAGCTTCATTCTTTTGCATGTAGCGACCCAGTTTTCCCAGCACCATTTATTGAACAAACTTTCTTTGCTCCAATGCATATTCTTTGCTCCTTGTCAAAGATTAGTTGACCATAAATCTGTGGGTTTATTTCTGGATTTTCTATTCGATTCCATTGGTCTATATGTCTGTTCTTGTTCCAATACCAGTGCATGGTTATTTTTAAAGAAAAATTTCAAATTTGAAAAAGTAGAGAAAATAGTATAGTGGATTCCCCCATGTAATGGTTACTTGTTTTATACATAATTCTGTCCACCTCTTCTGTCCCCTTGGATTATTTTGAATATTAGAGTATTGTTGACTTATTTTAGTTACATATGTTAATTATCATTTACTCATTGAAGAAATATTTATTAAGCACTTTCTATGTGCTTAATTATGCCCTCTCAGGAAGTAGTAATGACCCAAACTAAACAAGGTCCCTGATCTCATAAAAATTGTAGCAAAAGCATATATCAAGCAAATGACCACAGTAATAAATATATGGTTATAAACTGACATAAGGACTTTATTAAAAAAAACTTGCAAGCCTGTCACACATCTGAGACATGCAGTAGAGGAGGGGGAGGGGGAGAGGTCAAAATGGGAGGGAAAAATGCAAGGGACTGTGGGGATGGATCAGGGCTACTGTGGTGGTGGGAGAACTACAGGGACTACACCTGAGGGGAGAAATCAGATATTGTACAAAAAATAACGATATAAGAAAAATAAAATTAATTATAAAAAAAAACTAACATAAGGACTTTCAAAGAAAGGAAATAGAACTGAAGAAATGTATTTGAACAAGGAAGTGAAGAATGAATCAAATAATGATTAGATAAAGTTGGGGGTTGGAGCATTGGCATTCCGGAAAATGAAACAGCATATACCAAAACTATGCGGGAAGATGGAGATTATTGCAGGTATCACGATGAGGGCCAATGAGGCTGGGGTACCTACTGGAAATAAGTGTAGGAAGAAGAGAATGGCATAAGAGGTAGGCAGAGATGACAATATTAAGGACCAAAGGGCCGCAACTTTGAAGTCTGTGAGTGAGAGTTTCAAGCAGAAAAGAGAAATGATGCAATTTGTATTCGGATAATTCACTCAGTGTGGAATCTGGAGGAGTGAATGTGGGAGACTACAGCAGTCCTGGTTAACAATGAAGGTAGTCTGAACTAGTCTGAAAGCAGAGGAGATGGGATATGTGGGTAGATTTTTAAAGAGTAAAATTACATGGTTTTGTGATGGGTTGGCTGGAAGGATGAGAAGAAGGAAAATGCGGAGGATGATTCTTAGATTCATGGCATGAACAACTGGATAGTCATGCCGTTCATGGACAGAGAAAACACTAGACGAGGACCAGTTTTTTTATGGTAGAGTAGTTGAGTTTGAGGTGGTGCCTTTAGGTATTCAAATAGGCAGTTAGATACTAGAGTCTGGAACTCAGAGGAGAGAATCTGGAATGAGATAAAATCTTGGAGATAAGGCTTTGATTTAGGAAGAGATTATCTAAAGAGTAATTGTCTTCAGAGTAAAAGATAAAACCTGGAGGTTTGTCTGTTTGGGTTTGGACTCTGGATTAAATGAAAAGATTTCTCTGGAGAATTAGAAAATATGATTTACCTTGAAAAGATTTAGGGACTTGAATTTATGCTACTTCCATAATAGTGGAAATCTCAGGGAACAAATTATATTTTAACATCATTTTATGCCGGTAACACTCCCGAGGAAGTTTGGCAGGAACCAGACAAAACCTCCCTGAAGGATACATCTCAACTCAGGTTCACAGTATTCCCACGTAAAGCCCCCTGAAGATTTGTTTATAATCCAAATTATGAAAAACATCAGTCCCCCACCAATGAATCTTACAACTTTCAAACTCCTACAAATTTCAAATAATAGAATTAACAGAGACTATAGTTTGTATTTGAAATATTAAATATATGAAAATTTTAAAAAATAAGAAAAGAAACTGGAAAGAGCTAAAATAAAAAAGAGCTTGTCGAAATGAAAAATGTGGATATGAATATTGAGACAGACTGGAAAGCGCTAAAAAGGAACCAAAAGAACTTTTGAAATGAAAAATATCGATATGAATAATATCAAGACAGATTGGAAAGAGCTAAAAATGAACTAAAAGAACGTTTGAAATGAAAAATATTGTTACTGAAATCTAAAATTCCATGAGTTAAAGAGACTATTAGTTAAGTTAAGGAGAATTGTGAACTGGAAGATAGGTCTGAAAAAATGTGTCTTAGCTAAAGATTATTAAGAATTAAAAAATAAGGGCCTCCCTAGTGCCCTAGGAGTTTAAGTCTCAATGCTATCACCTCTACGGCCTGAGTTCGATCCCCAGCTAGAGAGCAAACCCAGCAGACCTCTTCTGTCTTGCCCACTGCTCCCCTTAGCAGTATATTCCAGGAGATCTGCCTGTTCTGCTCCCCACTCTGTCTCTGGTGAATCCTCTCAGCCCCGAAACTTCTGGTCTACACCACAGTTCTTCTGTGCAAAACTAAATTAATACAAAAAAAGAATTGAGAAATAAAATTAAAATAAAAAAATAAAAATATAAAATGTTATATCTGACAGGGAGTATAGGATGAGAGATTATTTACACAGATATAAAGGGACTATTAGAAATCATTCATATATACATACTAAGAATGTCTTCCTAATAGAACAAAATAATAGAATGTATTATTTCCAAACCAATAGAGTGGGACAAGGAAACTTTCGATTCAAGGACGGAAAGGAGAGAAAAGGAAGCAAAGCATGGTAAAAAGAAAGTACCAAACAATTTCAATGTTAGTAGTAGATTAAAAACCAAAATACCATCTTTATTACTAATGAAGGATAGATTGATGAATATGATTTAATATAAGAACCAAAATTGATTGGCTAACATACTGTCAGCCTAGATTTTAGAGTTTTCAATGGTGGGAAAGTTTGCAGAGCAAAACTACCTCCCTCAACTCCCTCAACTAATCTGGTAGAGGGGAGGAGAGGTTAAATCTCTATCCTCAGAGATTTATTTGGTAGACTCACCCGTCCCAGAACTCTGAACTAGCTCACCAGTCTGTGGTGGGGCAAGGATCCAGGAAGGCTTAAGGAAAATCTCTCCTTTAAGGAAACCAGAAGAATGTAGAAGAGGTATCCTAAAATATTTGCACATTTACAAATAATCTTGGCAATGGTAAGAATCAATTTCAAACTAATCATTATTCCTTAAGCAGTGGTTCTTTAGTTTGTTTCAGAATCATCTGGAGGGCTTGTTAAAAAGCACGGATAGCTGGACCTCACCTTTAGAGTGTCTGATTCAGTGGTCTGGGTTGGGACCCAAGAATTGGCATTTCTGACAAATTCACAGGTGATGCTGATGCTGCTAGTCTGGTGACTATACTTTGAGAACCACTGCCTTAGGGTGAGGTGAAGAAAAGAAATGGTATCAAGGAAAGGTAAGCAGAGAGATGAAATTATATTTACAGTTTCATTTCTTGAGCTGAGTGGTAGGTATGTGGTTAATTATTTTCTACATTTTCTTTTTAATCAAAGTAATGAAATCTTTCCACGTAAAATATAGAAAGTAATAAGGCAATATATAACACTCTGAAAATGACTGCCTTCATACTTATAAATAACTGACATTTGGAGGAGTAGCATGTTAAACTCAGACTAATTTGAGGTAGGTGTCTCAAAATACATTTTGATGGGTTAAATGATTAGCTATATACCAATAATTGTTACTGCTTGTTACAGATTTTTACATGTTTCAACTTATTTCTGTACTAAAATTAGTTATGTATAATCAGAGAGATTTTATCAAGTGTTTCCCAATTAGTTCATTAGTTTAATATAATAAAACACTCTTAAAATATTTAGTGTTTTAGTTTGTTTTATATATATAACTTATATTTCACATAAATTTGGTTATTTGAAACCTCAGGACTGGAATATGCTTTTCTTTTAGTTTTATGGAAACTCCTCCATTTTATCCCCAATTTGATCTGAATTATATTTCTCTGCTTTTGACTAATAATCTTTTAAAATCCCCCCTGTCTTACTAATTCAATTATTATCTACTCCAATGTTGCTAAATATACATAAAACTTTGAGGAAATGTTCAATTTTGAACATTTTATGAGCTCTAGAATTTAAGTATCTTGCAAGTCTTTATAGCAATCTTTGTGTTAATAATTATGTATAGAGGACCTTTCTGGTATCCTAGGGGTTAAGTCTCAGGGCTATCACCCACTACTGCCTAAGTTTGATTCCCTGCCAGGGAGCTAACCCACATATGGTGCAGCAGACGTCTCTTGTCTTGCGCACTTAGTGTATTTCAGTAGATCTGCCTCTTCTGCTCTCGCCTCTGTCTCTGGTGAATCCTCTCACCCCTTGCTCCTCTGGCCTAAACTCCAGTTCTTCTATGCAAATAAATAAAAATAAATTTGTATAGAATATATTTTTCTATCAGTTTATCCATTCATAAAGAACTTAATTTTCAGGAGCATAAAGAACCAAATGATGGTCACTGCACTGGAGTCAAAGTTAAGTCTTTGGTGGACAAATGTGCTACACATTCCAGCACTGTCTTATCAACTCCAAAGTAGTCACAAGTCACATTTTTTGATAACTTAATTTATCCGGCTGTAAGACAGTGCCAGAGAGTATCTAGTTAGATGTGTATTCTCATTCAACAGAATGTAGAAATACCGTCCCACTTCTCTGAAAAAAACAAAACAGTGCAGTAAATAAGTCCAGGCTTTAAAAATATTTATACAATAGTCCCACCTTGACCAAGCGGAATACTTTCCAAGACCCAGTGGGTGCCTAAAACCTATGATAGTACCAAACCCTAACCTTACAAAATGAGAAGGTCCTAATCCGATGTAAAATTTGCATGCATACGCAGTATAGATTATGTGTTTTTACTGCACATAGTATGGTTTCAACCATATGCATAGAAGATAACCAAAAATTATCTTTTGATGGTGGGATTATGAATGATTTTATCTTTATATTTTCATGTGTTTAAGAAAATACACAATTGTGGCTTCAGTGTCATAACTGGTTCACATGTGGTAGTCATAAGAAAATATACAATCAAAACATGTTTTAAAAAGAATCTTCTTGCAGAATAAATGTAGTATGAAGTAATATTAAAGCTTAGTCCATATATATTTTCTGACTCTTCAGCTTTGATTTTTCATTGAAAATGCATTAGATTATCGGACAAGCAATTTAATATGTATTTACACAGTAATGTATTCTAGAGCTCTCTTTCATCACACATTTCAGAAATGCTGGTATTCTTTTAAAGCAAATTATTTCTTACAGTGATGAATTTCATATTTAATTTATAGCCTTCATTATAAATTTTGCTAGCTTCATACAATTAAAAATTTTATTAGGCCTTTTAAATTTTTTATTGTGCAGATTGATTGCCTAATGCAGTATCTCTTAACCATTTCTTTTCATCATCACCTCCCTAAGGAACCTTTTTAGACGTTTTTTTCCAATTCTTCTCCATCTCATGAAATTTTAATAGCTATTTATGCACTGTATGTATATCCATGATTTATATTTTAAAGCCATAAGATTTTTTTCACCTTCCCAAGAACCCATTTTTACCCCTTTTGCAGTGATATTGCCCCCTTTGAGAACATATGGCTGAATGGAATATTATGGAAAAATATTATTTTAACTTTTCAATGAGTCTTAAGCCCACATGTTTTGTTTTTGTAGCTGCCTGCCTCTCAAACATCACGTGGTGACCACTCCAACACTTCTCCTGTGGGGCGAGAAAGACGCATTTATGGATGTTGAGATGGCTGAAGTCACAAAGATTTATGTTAAAAACTATTTCAGGCTAACTATTTTGTCAGAAACCAGTCATTGGCTTCAGCAAGAACAACCTGACATAGTGAACAAATTGATATGGACATTTCTAAAAGAAGAAACAAGAAGAAGAGATTGACTTTTCTGTATCTTCTCTGTGGGTTCTGTAATGAAATCTCTAAATAATTTTTAAATTGTTAATTATTGTTAATATTGCCCATCAATTTCTTTAAGCATTATTAAGGGGGAAAAAAAACTGTTTCAGTATGCTTTCTCATAAATAAATGTCCTGACAAATGCTATTGCAAAAGAAATCTGAGAATGTGTGACCATGTGACGTAATATTGATTTTCTTCTGTTATATTTTGCACAGAAAAGCATCTGCCTTAAAATGTATACACTTCTACAAAAAGAAAGTTGGAAAAGTGGCTCAATTTTGGTTTCTTGCTTTCTTTACCCTGTCAACATATGGTGCCTTTACAAATGTATATTAAACATTAGCTGTGCTATATAAAAAGGCAAACCTGAAATGGTATAAATTTTTTATTTTATTGTTCAGAAGTTCTTTTTACTCTTTTTTAACCATTAAAAAGTTCTATTATCAAATCTCTTGGATTTATAGTATATTTGTTTGAAGGCAAATATGACTAGTTTATTGTGCATTCTAAAAATGGACCATGAATACCGCTCATATTGGGAAGATTAACAAAAGGTGATGTGGCAATTATCATATGTATATATATGTTAAACATTGCAAGTTGGGAAGCACATCCTGTGAATTTACTTGCCTTAATTCTCCAGCTAAATTGATAAAAGAATTCGACAAAGGATCAGAATATCCTTTTGTCCCATTCAATGCAAAAGGAAGTGAATACTATACTTCCTGTGTACACTGGAATGTAAGTTCCCCAGGATAGAAATTTTAAAAATTGCTTTAATTGACATATGTCTAGCAGTTAGAATAATGACATGACTCATTTTAGGCACTCAAACATTTGCTTAATGAATAAATAATGTAACTGATACACTGCTAGACACTGACACTGTGGGGGAATACTGAAGAAAGATGATGTGTAATATGGAACTTTCCCTTAAGATGTATACACAGAATGCAGTTAAGTTAAACAAGGATTAGATATGACTATTACAAAAAAGAGTGGAAAAGAGTTACAAAACAGGGCCTCCCCGGTGGCACAGTGGGTTGAGCACAGCACTGTGAAGCTGATTGCAGCCTCTGCAGCGCAGGTTCAAGCCAGGCGGGCCAGGGAGCTGCTCACATGGCACAGCAGACCTCTCCTGCCTCTGCCTCGCCCGCTACCCTCAGTAGTGCTTTTGGTCTGTCTGCCAGTTTTGCTCCCTGCTCTGGTGAATCCTCTCACTCTCCCACACCTCTGGCCTGTACCCTAGTTCTTGTATCAATAAAAGTAAATCTTTAGGGTCTCCCGGGTGGCGCAGCGGTTGAGCACTGGGTTGTGAAGCTGCCCGCAGCCTCTGCAGCGCCAGTTCGATCCCCACTTGCTCCCCGGCCACCAGAGGAGGGTCCCACATGGCGCGCAGACCTCTCCTGCCGCCCGCTGCTCCCCTCAGCAGTGTACTTCGGTCCTTCTGCCTGTTCTGCTCTCCGCTCTGGCTCTGGTGAATTCTCACACCCTCCCATGCTTCTGACTGTACCCAGTGCTTGTATAAATAAATAAATAAATCTTTAAAAAAAAAAAAAGTAAATCTTTAAAAAAAATGTTATGAAACAGAGAAGGATACCATCTCAAGGGACAATATTCATTCTCTTGGGTTGCTCTCCTTTGGCATGGGAGACAACCAATAACATTGCCAAATCATGACTCCTTTGAAATTACAACTGTGTTAGCAAATAAGACTAAAATGGTGAAAAGAATGTTTCCCTTATGTAATTCTGACAGCAACAAAAGAAAGTGGAATGTCCTCAAGAATTCTCATTGTATCCTAGCAACGTCTATTTACTAATGGATAACTAAATTTTCTATATACATTATATATGTGCCTCTTAACAAGATTGCAAGGTAGGTAGTATAACCAATTTATAGAATGAAAATGGGGTTAGCCAATGCCCACAGTGTAAATGTTAGAGCCAGGATCTGAACTAAGCCCATGTGACTGTGAAGTCCATCATTTCCACTTAGGTGCCATTCTGTTTAACAGGCTCTGGTAGCCACAGGCTTTTCCTGTTTTATTGGTAAACTGATGTGTTCCAATAAACAGAAACATCTCTTAGAAACCTACAATTTAACTTAATTCTGGGAAACAATTTAAATTAGCAATTAGCAACACAGAAATACTCTACATAGCATTGTCAGAGATGCAAATGTTATAAGATAGAGAAAAAAGACTGGTTCCGACCAACTTTGATTATGCTTCACTCAGGATCATTTCCAAAATGATCAAGCAACAAAGGCAGGAATGGGACTTCATAGACTGTGTGTGTTGACCCAGTAAAATAATCTTGATTTAACAAAATCCTGTTTTGACAGAGGTGATTTTAACATCTGTTGTTACTAATGTTAGTTTGAAATGCTGACAGGTTCATGTAGACTAATGTTAAGAATATGAATCAATCTGGGTTGGCAAATGCTGGCCTATTACAAAGAATATATTTTCCAGTTTTCAATGGATGTGAAAGATTGTAACATAAAGGCTCAAGGGTGCCATGGGTTAAACTTCTTAGCACAAAGAGATATTACTGTCTGTAGAAATTAATTGATAGTGAGAGTAAGTAAATTTTGCTTATCAGCTTCAAAGCAACACACAGTAAACTTTACTGGTAATGACTTTTAGGTTTTAATGTAATCAAGATTCATATCTTTAAAAATTACATCTATTTATGATATTAATATTAACTATATTAAAAATATATAAATGCCAGAAATTGTGTGAAAATAACTTATTAAACATATGTTCTAAGGAAAATGTTTACTGCAAAGAAAGAAGACTACTGGTTGATACTCTTCTGTTACTTCATTTACTATTCTGGATAATTTCTGACTTTAAAGGTAACGCATCATTTCCTATAAAGGTACAGTTGCCTCTAAGTGTTCTAATTATGCGTGACAGCAAGAGCACTTGAAAATGAGGCAGTAGACTGTGGGGTCTGCACCCAGATCTAGGCTCCTGGCAATCTGAGACCCCGAGAGACTGAAAGGGGTCCTCATGGCTGATGGGCACTCTTCGGTCAGTGAGAGGAAAGAGTCGGCGCCTCCATACCTCCATGAGAGAAGCAAATCCTTGTACCCACCAGCGGTGGCCAACCCCTTCTTGCAGGAGACACACCTCAGCGTGTGGCGCTGGATCTCCATTATCCTCATGGGGACTGTGCTGGTGCCGCTGCGGGTGTTCTGCATGTTCTTCCTCATGGTCTTCCTCTGGCCAGTCACTGCTTTACTCACCACAGGTTTATCTGCTCAACCAACCAAGCCCCTCAGGCGTTGGAGGAAAAGACTCTTAGAACCAGCCACCAAGTTCTTGCTTCAGGCCATCTTCTTTTTAGCAGGATTCCTAGTTAAAGTGGAAGGCAGAAAGGCAAGCCGGGATGAGGCCCCCATCCTCGTGTCGGCGCCACACTCCACTTACTTTGATGTAATCCTCTGTGCGGTGGCGGGATTACCCTCAGTGGTCTCTGCAAGTAGAAATGCAACGATTCCAGTGGTTGGGAAAATCCTGCTGTCATTGCAGCCGGTCTTCGTGACCCGAGATGACCCCAATTCCAGGAGGACTACCAGGGCAGAAATAATGAAGCGAGTGACATCCAAAAGGAATTGGCCACAGTTGCTGATTTTTCCCGAAGGCGTGTGTACCAACCGCTCCTGTCTGGTTACCTTTAAACTAGGGGCCTTCTCTCCAGGTGTCCCTGTGCAGCCAGTGCTACTCAAGTACCCAAACACCGTGGACACAGTCACCTGGACCTGGCAGGGGTTTTCAGCCATCCAGGGCTTTATTTTGACCCTGAGTAGGCCTTTCACTAGGATAGAAGTTGAGTTTATGCCTGTTTATGTCCCAAATGACCAAGAAAGAAAAGACCCTGTCCTTTTTGCGAATACAGTGAGGATCAACATGGCAAATGCTCTCGGGGTGCCTGTGACAGACCATACCTATGAAGACTGCAAACTGATGATTTCTGCAGGTAATCTTCAACTTCCCATGGAAGCTGGTTTGGTGGAATTTACAAAACTGAGCCAGAAATTGAACTTAGATTGGGATAATATTCATCAGCATTTGGATGAGTATGCTGCCGTCGCAGCTGCCTCAAAAGGAGGGGTGATAGGAATTAAAGAGTTTGCAAATTACCTAAAACTCCCAGTTTCAGAGCCCTTGATACAGCTTTTTGACCTCTTTGACAGCAATAGGGATGGCTACATAGACTTCAGAGAATACGTGATTGGTCTGACTGTCTTATGCAATCCTTCTAACACTGAACAGATTCTGAAATTGTCATTTAAGCTTTTTGATCTTGATGAGGATGGCTTCATAACAGAACAGGAGTTAACTGCTATACTTCGGGCAGCTTTTGGAGTGCCAGATCTTGATGTTTCCAGACTCTTTCGGGAAATAGCTGGAAAGTCACAGCGCATTTCATACAGGCGCTTCAAGAGATTTGCCCTGAGAAATCCACACTATACCAAGTTATTTAGTTCCTACTTAGACCTTCAGGCAGCCTATATATATTCTTTACCATAAGTAGGGTTTAATCACTGTATTCAAAAGATAAAGTTATTCCTGAAAAACGGTGATGTAACTTCCAGGTAGAATCTATGATTGAAATAAAAATTATCTTTTGAGGAAAAACACAATAGTTTTGTGGCCTGAACATTTAATGATAACATTTAAAATGTGCTTGAGGAATATATTTTTCAATTAGATTTCATAGTACCTTCTTTCTTCTTTCATAAGATGATGTTTCAGTGTGACCTAAAGGTAGAAGAATAAGAGATCTAATCATAAAGCTTGCTTACACAGCATGGTTCTAATTAATGCCTTTATTTTGTTTCATGCTAATGTAAGGCCAGAGGAACTTATGACCCATCACCTCTCCCTCATTTTTGCAGAGAAAATATTTTGTTAAGAGTTCCATTGGCAATAAATAAGTACATCAAATTCTCATTTTTATTCCCTTCAAAAAAGATCTGCTGGATAAAATGCCTCTTTGTTCTTTCTCAAAGAGAAAGAGCCCAAATTTCTCATTTTATTTTTTTTAAGATTTATTTATTTATGCATACAAGAACTGGGGTACAGGCCAGAGTTGTAAGGGGTGGGGTAAAAGGATTCACCAGAGACAGAGTGGGGAACAGAACAGACTGACTGAAATACACTGCTGAGGGGAACAGCGGGCGAGCCAGGAGACGTCTGCTGCACCATGTGGGTAGCTCCCTGGCCAGGGATTGAACTCATGCTGCAGTGGCTGCAGATAGCCTCATAGGTTGTGTCTTAACCCCTTGTACCACTGGGGAAGCCACAAATTTCTCATTTTATAAGAGAAAATAAAAAATAAACATCATGGAAATATAATATTGGAAATCCCACTGAAATAGTTTTATATGTAAACAATTTTATATGTAAAACTATTTCAGTGGGATTTCCCATACTATATTACATATACATACACACACACACACACACACACACACATATATATATATATATTATGGCTGCTCTTATTTCTTTTTTTTAGATATGAAAGTGATTATTAAGAATAAGAAAAGAATAAGAAAAGAAATCACAACAGATTTGTGTCTTTGGAAAGCCAACTAATATCACAAACAGATTATAAACATAGGAATTCTGACAAATTCTATTTTGATGATTCTTATAAAAAGGGAAAATTGTACTTATAATTGCATGTTTTTCATTACTGGGAATAGTTCTTTTGTTTTGACTAGGCACCAGTGAAAAATGAGGTCTCTGTTCACTCTTGTGTACCTCCTTTTCTAACCATATGCTTTCAGTACCCTTTGCTGTGTTAAAAAACTAAAATTCAGGGCCTCCCTCGTGGCGCAGGTGGTTGAGTACAGCGCTGTGAAGCTGTCCGCAGCCTCTGCAGTGCCAGTTTGATCCCTGCCAGCCACAGAGCAACCCACATGGTGCAGCAGACCTCTCTTGTCTCACCCGCTGCTCCCCTCAGCAGTGTATTTCAGTCAGTCTGCCTGTTCTGTTCCCCACTCTGTCTCTAGTGAATCCTCTCACCCTCCCGCACATCTGGCCTATACCCCGGTTCTTGCATGAATAAAGAAATCTTTAAAAAATAAAATAAAATTCTCAAATTTAGAGATCTAATTGGCTTTATTAAATGATTCATGACTTGGACAGCATCCCTCTGTATACTGCAAAAGCTTGCATAAAATGGAGGGTGTTTACAGAAAGAGGGTGGAAAAAATTTATTAACAAAAGATTTCTTAAGACAAAGCCACCTTCCTTCAGGGAAGGCAGGGTGTTCTTATCATGCAGATGACCTCACTGGTGTGGATTAGGAAACTCAAAATATTTATTGGTTTATTATTACACTTTTGGGAGAGGTTGGAACTGCAATAGGCATTAAATCTGAGTGCACTTCCCATGAAGGACTCCATTTTGGGTCCTTTTTTTTTCTATTTTTAACAGTTGCAAGACATCTGCACATGGTGATATGACCTTGGGTCCTAGCCACTTACGTCACAGTGCTGGATAAGTTAGCCAAGTATCCCTACGGGACGGGGAACAACTTATCTTTATGTGGAAGTGATTGCAAAGCAATAAATATGCCTTGTTAGCCAAACTAACTTGTTTCCTCAACTTAGTTTCACTGTAACTAAATCCCAAAAACGCCTGTAGCCGTTCACTGCCACCAGTTATGCGGGGCCATTTGACTAAGGGGAGAGTCTTGGTCAATAGTGGTCAAAATCTCTTTTGCAAGCTTTACAAATTTGTAAGTAAACATATTTCTAAGGACCTTACGAAAGCCTTGGCAGGACTTGTCCTAGTGGCATCTCTGAAACTTAAACTTCATTAGCTTCCTAGTATTTTGAAAGTGGAGAAAGGAGGTAGAAGTCTGCAGATGGGGAAAGCAAAAGAAAAAAAATCAAGCATTGTTTTGAATCATTTCCATGCAGTTCTGATGTAAGAAAAGAAGTAAATATACAGTATTTTATAATCCTCATTGTCTAGGTCTGTTTGGGCTGCTGTAACAAAAAAATATCATAGACAGGGGGACTTAAACAACCAACATTTATTTCTCACAGTTCAGGAGGCTGGAAGCCCAAGATCAATGCCTTGGCAGATAATGGTGTCTGTTGAGAGCCTTTTTCCTTGTCCAAAGATGACCGTCTTCTTACTGTGTTTAGGGGAGAAGGCAAACCCTCGAGTCTCTTTTACAAGGGCGCTAATCCTAGTCATAAGGGTTTCTCTATCATGACCTCTAAAGATCAAATCCCAAAGAGCCCACCTCCAAATGCCATCCCAATGGGTATTAGGTATCCCATTGGGATTAGAGGACAGAGGACACAAATATTCAGTGTAGGGTGCCCACCTACCTTTTTCAGTGCACTGAAATTATTCATCTAATAAGAGATTTTCACTTAAAAGTACTTACCAAAGTATATATTTAACCAATGTTACTATTACTCAAGCATTTGCTGTAGTTTGAAGTAGTTTGTAATTCGATAATGAGCTATATCAAAAAAATCAAAGGCATTACTTCATTATACTCTATAATTTAACCTCAACGTGTTCAGCAGTTTTTTCTTACTCTTCAATACATAATTGTGGGGTGTCATTTAATAATGTTAAAATCTAAGTCCCCACCCCTTGGCCAGCAGGAAGTTTTGGGAGGCTTAAATAGATAAAGGAAATTGATAAGGTTGCTGTGGGAACCAGGCCATAAAGTGGATCACTTTGACCATGAATGTGGAAACAGGGTCAGTACACATTCTGTGTCAAAGGTCAATGGGTAATGTGGAACATCCCAGAACTAACTGGCCCAAACGGACTTCCTACTCATGAAAAGCCCAAGAAAACAGATTTTATAATCTGTTTTATAATCTCTTTTATAAGAGAACACCAAATCCTCTTTCGTGTGCAGATTTCTCCCTTCTTATCTGCTGCTTTTCTTTTCAGTAGACCCCCCTTTTCTGTTCTCCATTCTTTCTCTGGTGAATTCTTTTACACACACACACACACACACACACACACACACACACACACACACCCCTATGCCATCTTCTACACCCTGATTCTACCCCACAATATATAACACTTAAAAAATGTTTTGTGGAGGCCTCCCTGGGGGAGCAAGGTGTTAATTCTCAGCACCATGAAGCTACCCACAGCCACTGTAGCACAAGTTTGATCCCCGGTCTGGGAGGTGACCCACATGGCGCAGCAGACCTCTCCTGTCTCACCCACTGCTCCCCTCAGCAGTGTATTTCAGTAGATCTGCCTGTTTTGTTCTCCACTCTGTCTCTGGTGAATCCTCTCACCCTCTGCACCTCTGGCCTATACCCCAGCTCTTGTATGCATAAATAAATAAAATATATATATGTATTTTTTTTTGTGGGACCCTCACCGACGGCCGGGGAATGAACCGGCGCTGCAGAGGCTGCAGGCAGCCTCACAGCCCAGCGCTCAACCGCTGCGCCACCAGGGGAGGCCCAATAAAATAAATATTTTTAAAAAATGCTTTGTTGTAAAATGAATACAGATTTTTAAAAATTACACCAAGCAAATCTATAGCTAGTAATAATTATATTCATATATAACATATACTTTATATTATAACCCCTTTTAAGATGAATACTATTGCAATCAACACTTAAATAAAATACAAAAGTTTTCCAGCTATTCTACATTCCCCTTTATGCCCCCAATTATAATTACAACCTCCTCCTTCCTTCCCCAGTTAAATTACTCCTGATTTTTATAGCTTCACGTACTGTGTTTCTTTACAATTTATCATCCAAATGTGCAAACGCTGATACTATGTTAATTTTAAATGTTGTAAAATAACAGACTATATATATATATATATATATATATATATATATAGAGAGAGAGAGAGAGAGAGAGAGAGAGAGTCTGGTGTGTGTGTGTATAAGGGGGAGTGGTATAAATCTTGCAGAACTTTGGAAGGCAGCTATGCTAACCACTATACCACCAACGCCCCGGCTAATCTTGCAGAACTTTGAAGGGAAAGAGTTAGGTGCTTTACTGCTTGGGTTTTAATACCTAGACTACCACTTATTGGTTGTGTGGTCTGGTCAGGTTCCCTCTCCTGTCAAGCATCAACTTCCTCATCTGTAAATTGGGCTCAAAGCAAAAGCAGCACCTACCAAAAGGGTTGTGAGGACTCAGCTAATACATACAAAGCAAGTAGAGCAGTTTTTCACTTGATAAACATGCAATACATATTAACTATTATTATATGATCTTTGACATTCTTCTTTCTTACAGAAATAATTTTTTAAAGATTTATTTATTTTTGCATACAAGAGCTGGGGTCTAGGCCAGAGATGTGGGAGGTGAGAAGATTCACCAGAGACAGAGTGGGGAACAGAACAGGCAGACTGACTGAAATACACTGCTAAGGGGAGCAGAGGGTGAGACAGGAGAGGTCTGCTGCGCCGTGTGTTTTCTTCCTGGCCAGCCAGGAGGCTGCAGATTGCTTCACAGTGGGGTGTTCAACCCCTTGCGCCACCAGGGAAGCCCCTACAGAAATAATTAACTCAATTATCCAGTGTTATTATTCAGAATTAACTCAATTATCCAGTTTTATTATTCAGAAGTAAGGTGTGTGAATACTTGGGAGGGGCATTATTTGGAAAAACAGGTATTTCTTGCCCAATCTTATAGTATAAGGTCCATATATTTTGCAAGTAATTAGTATTAATTATTAGTACAAAGCTGAATGAAACAGAACTACTGAGTTTTCTTCCTTTGAAGGAAGTAATCAAATAAAAAGTAGGAAAAGAGTGTTAAATGATATCCTGTTGCCTGGGGAGCGGGGCAGCAGGGTTGGAAGTGGAGTGGGCTGAGGGAAAGATTACTGAAAGTCCTTGTGGAGCAACAAGAAGCCTAGAGTAGAGGGGCTGCACTGGATGTGATGTGCAGCCCCAATTCTAGTATTTATTAGCAATGAATACAAAGGTGGGGCAAATACATAGGAAGTATACATGCACAGGTGATAGGATTAGGAGGTAAAGTAGGGTGCAATGACCAGGGGCTATTGCCTGGGGGGCCTCTATTATTCTGGCCAGTCTAAGCATATTGTCTCTATTCTAATATTTGCCTGCTGTTATCAGCCCATACTGGTTTCCCATGTTCCTCATACAAGGACTTTTGACCTCTGTGAGAGGCCCCCTGCATGACCCTACACTTTGTTGCCAAGCAGGAACTCTGGGCAGCAAAACAATATTCCCCAAAATAAGGAGGACTGGGAATTCCACAATATCCACTACAACTCTTTTCTTCAATGGAGAAGATTCAACACCCTATAGCTCTTGAATCTACTCATTCCCCTGCTTAATTAAAGGTGCTACTTCTCTAGCCTTACCTCTTTCCTTCCTCATCATAAATTTTATTACTTTATATGCAAAGCACTGGAATATAATCTTACACTTCTCAGTTAAAGTCCAAGAGCAGTTATATGAATCACTCCCTGGGTTAGAAGTGGAAGAGGTCTTCTACATAAATTACAGGCCCTTTGCAGGGAACCATGGAGTATATTTTACTTCTGCTGATTTTGTGAAATTCTTCCCCTGCCCCTCAAATCCCCAGTATTTCTTATTCAAATAATTTATCCAAAGAAGTTAAATGAAGGCCCTTCCTGGTGGCACAAGGGTTTAAGCATGGCACTATGACGCAATCCGCTGGCTGTGCAGCACAAGTTTGACCCCCGGCCGGCCAGGGAGAAACCCACATGGTCTGCAAACCTCCCCTGACTTGTCTGCTGCTCCCCTCAGCAGTGTATTTCAGTCAGTCTGCCTGTTCTTTTCCCCACTCTATTTCTGGTGAATCCTCTCACTCCCTGCATCTCCGGCCTGTACCCCAGCTCTTGTATGCATAAATAAATGAATCTTAAAAAAAAAAAAAACAACAGAAAAGTAGTGAAATGAGAGAGTGTGACTGGACAACAGGAAAGGTCTTGTGAACCTGTCTTTCCTGTACCAAAAAAAAAGGGAAAAATCAAAACAACATTAATATCCACTGATATCCCAAGAAGATGTGGAAAGGCTGCACAAGTTGAGTTGACGTAGACTCTCAATAAAACATCCATGTAAATGGTTATTCTTCTTTAATGATAAAGGGACGAAACAGCAGTGGTAAAGAATGAAAAATTTTAAACCTAAACAACAAAGAGAAGTTATAAGAAACAAGGTGTAAAAATATGATCTGGGAATATAAAATAAAGCAGTTAATTTACTTTGCCTATGCCAAAGGATTCCTTTTATTCTATATTTGCTTTTCTTGCTAACAGGACCTAATATTATGCCCCAGTAACATCAATGTTACTTTCATATGGCATAAAATCCATAGCTATTGGAACTTTGTGAGCACCAGGCACACGTTTCACCGGGCAATATCTTAAAATATGTCTAGGAAATGACTCACACAAAGGGATTCCTAGATTCTTTCAACAGGCATTGATTTTTTTTTTTAAAGAAGATTTATTTATTCATACAAGAACTGGGGTACAGGCCAGAGGTGTGGGGGTTGAGAGGATTCACCAGGGACAGAGTAGGGAGCAGAACAGGCAGATCTACTGAAATACACTGCTGAGGAGAGCAGCAGGCAAGTCAGGAGGGAGCGGTCTGCTGCGCCATGTGGGTAGCTCTCTGGCTGGGGATCGAGCTCGTGCTCCAGCGGTTGCGTATAGCTTCATAGGTTGAATCTGAACCCCTTGCCCCACCAGGGAGGCCCTCAACAGGCCTTGATTTCACAGGCAGTTTTCAATGTGGTATTTTAGGTAATTGGTCTTATTACAAAATCGTTTCTCAACTGGGACTATAACATTTTCTGATTAAATAAGTAAGTAAAAAAATAAATGGTTAGCACCAACCAAAAAGCAAAGAAGAGGAAGAGGGATAAAGAACCCCAGGGACCGGCGGGCTGGGGGTGGGGGGGCGAACCGGGGACAGTTCACCCGGCGCAACGGGGGGGGGGGCGGAGTGGCCGCCGGCCGAGGTAAACAGGCCTACTACGCCTGCGCACACCGTTCCAGGGTCACGTGCCGGAGCTGGCCGCGGCCCGGGAGACGCCGCGGGCGCCGCGAGGGGCCGTCCACAGACACCGGAGGCGTCGCCCTTTCCCCGAGGGGCGGGCTCGCGTAGGCGCGGAGCCTCGGCTGGGAACGCCCCTTTCCAGAGCCGGCGGGAGAGGCCGAAAATCGGGCCTGCGGGGCACCGCCGAACCTTGCTGGGACATGGCCCGCTGTGGGGAGGGCACCGCGGCTCCCGGGGTACCTCTGGGGTCCCCTGGAGGCTGCGGTAAGGGGTTGCAAAGGAAAGGACCCTGTGAACGGCGCCGGCTGAAGGCGACGGTGTCGGAGCAGCTCTGCCGGGATCTGCTCAGGTAGGAGGAGGCGGGAACTCCGGCTGCTTCGATACCTGAGGCGCCCAGCCCCGCCCCAGAAGCTGGGGCGCCTCTGTCTCCCCATCCGCCCCCACCTCGACCTCCTCGCTTCTAGCTGCTGCAGCAGGTTCTCCAGGCTCCACCACGTGCGGGTTCGCGCGCCCTAGAAAAGCAACCCCGGGCACCTCGGAGACAAAGTACCAGATCCACGAGGAAAATGAGAATTAGTGGCCTGGTTACGGGCAGCGCCGGTTTATGCCAAAGTGCTCCAACATGGACAGGTTTAGGGATGTGTCGCTAAGGACAGGGTGGATCTGTTTCATGGTCCTGGAACTACACAGTTGTTTTTTTTTTTTTTTAATAAGCTGTAAAAGTTATAAGAAAAATGTTAAAATGGGATAGAAACGTGAACATTTATTTAGAATGAAGAAAACCAGAGCAAATTATACTAGAGCCTTGGGGGTCTCTCTTCTGAGATATGCTGAAATAGAAATACTCCCTGACTGCAACCGGCTTCCCATCTCCTCGTAGAACAAGCTACTGCTCTTGGTAACATCTGGCTTCTTTGAGGACCCACGCAGGCAGAGCTGAACTCAGGCTATTCAGCTAACTTCGTCTCAGTTTATACACAAAGTGAAACTTAGAAATTTACCTTGGCTAGTTTTCATTTCTATCTAAATAGTGATTCCTGAACTTTAGTAAGCAAAAGAATCACCGAGAATTCTCGCTTAGAAATTGATTAGGTAAATGGCGCAGCAGACCTCTCCTGGCGCACCAGCTGCTCCCCTCAGCAGTGCACTTCAGTCAGTCTGCCTGTTCTGCTCCCCACTCTGTTTCTGGTGAATCCTCTCACCCCCCCTTCCCCCCGCATCTCTGGTGTGTACCCAGCTCTTGTATGTATAAATAAAATAAATCTTAAAAAAATTGACTAGGGCCTCCCCGGTGGCACAGCGGTTGAGCGCTGGGTTGCGAAGCTGCCCGCGGCCTCTGCGGCGCCGGTTCGATCCCCGGCTGCTCCCCGGCCACCAGAGGAGGGTCCCGCATGGCGCGCAGACCTCTCCTGCCGCCCGCTGCTCCCCTCAGCAGTGCACTTCGGTCCTTCTGCCTGCTCTGCTCCCCGCTCTGGCTCTGGTGAATTCTCTCACCCTCCCGCGCTTCTGACTGTACCCAGTGCATGTATAAACAAAACAAACAAACAAACAAAATAAATAAATAAAAAAAAACATGCCTCTATAAAAAAAAATAAAAAGATTTAAAAAAAAAATTGACTAGGTAAAAATAGGGAAGAAGAAAGGTGTCTGGCTAAAGGAGAATTACTTTTACAAAGGCACACATTTGAAAGAGCTTGATTTATTTTGGAAAGCAAGTTATATGTGATTCTTTCAAGCAACAGAGATTAGGAACAGAAATTCATCTGGGGTAGTGGAGGCTATATGGAGGAGGAAAACAAGAAGCAGTTTCAAACTTTAAAAAACTAGAGCTGATGTAAAACTAGAACGTTCCTTGGCACATGACAGCAGTGTTACAGTAAGGTTTCACTGAGGAATGGGCCATTATTCAGGTCAATTGTAATAACAGTAGCAGATTCTTATTGCCACTCACTGTTAGCTAGACACTGGGCTGACTTGTGATGTTTTATTTACGCCCCTCATAAATCCTGGGAGGTAAGTCTTGTTAATACTCCAATTTATCAGGTAAGGAAACAACATTAGAAATGGTGGAGACAGAATGACAACCTTGGCACCAGGCTCTAGAGACATTACAGTGACTTGCTCGAGGTCACACAACAATAATACGAATCCAGCCAGTCGGCTTCCTATATGGCAATTGATCAAACTGATCCTCCAGTAACTTTGTTCCTTCATTTCTGCTTCTGTCCGTACACATTTCTTTTTCTTTCTTTTTTGGACTTGCTTTGGAACTCTCTCTCAATGCAATCAGTTGCTTCCTATTTCTTATAGAATGTCTCTGCTAAACATCACTTGTTTAAGCACATTAGTTGATGGCTAACCTTGACTCAAACCATTGCCCATCAGAGATGGTTAAGACTATCAGGGTCATGTAAGACAAAGCAGAACTTACATAAAGATTTATTTATTTATACAAGCACTGGGGTACAGGCAAGAGGCGTGGGAGGGTGAGCAGAACAGGCAGAAGGACCGAAATACACGCTGAGGGGAGCAGTGGGCGAGACAGGAGAGGTCTGCTGTGCCATGTGGGAGTCTCCCTGGCTGGCCGGGAATCGAACCTGTGCTGCAGAGGCTGTGGACAGCTTCACAGCACTGCGCTCAACCCACTGTGCCACCGGGGAGGCCCCTTTATCATTTTTTAAAGATTTATTTATTTATGCATACAAGAACCGGGGTATAGGCCAGAGGTGTGGGGGATGAGAAGATTCACCAGAGACAGAGTGGAGAGTAGAACAGAGTGGATCTACTGAAATGTACAGCTGAGGGGAGCAGCAGGAGAGATAGGAGAGATCCTGGCCAGGGATCGAACGCGTGCTGCAGTGGCTTTGGATAGCTTCATAGTGCTGCATCTTAACACCTTGCATCACCAGGGAGGCCCCTGAATTTGGTAGCTTTATTGGGAGCGGATTGTGGGTATGGCAGGTACAGCAGAATGAATAGACTAACAGAGCATGGAGGTTTTCTTTCCTTGAGAAGAGTTTGGAATGTATTCTGGAAGCAGTTGAAGGTTAAAAAAGGTGAAAGGGATTCACATGTACAGTTGATGGATGGGTGACATCATTTGTGGAGGAACAGGGAGAGCGAGGGATAGAAGAACGGAAAGGGAGGAGTATAGTGAATGTTTAGGAAGCCATATCCAGGATACAAATGGAAATATGTTTGGAGTTAACGAGCCCCCAGTTGTCCAAGCCACTAAGAGAGAGATCTAAGTTATTTTCTTCCCTTTACTAAGTTATATCTATTCACCAACTCCTGCCAATTTTATTACCCAGATGCATTTTTATTCCATCCCTTTTTGCTGTCATCATTGATCCTTTCCTGATTCAGTCCCTTTATAGATCATTTGTGCTGTGCAGTAGTTTCCTTATCTTCATTCCCCTTTCCCCCTAATTCCTAATGGGTGATATTTTAAAAAATAAATTTGCCCATATTTCAACCACTTGGTGACTCCCTTTCAACTGTAGAATACAGTTCAGCTTCTTGCCTCTTTTCTTTATCCCTAAAACGGCATCTGCCACTTCTCACTCTCTCAATACTCTATGGAATATCAATTTGTGACTGTATACGCATACACACCTTTGTGAGAAACATGAAGTCAGGAACTGATTGTAACTGCTTTGCTTCCAGAACCAACTCATATTCACTCCTTCAAATCTCATTTGGTTTTCATGCCTTCTATACAATTTTCTCTTATAACTGTCTTTGAAAAGATTTTAATTATTTGTGCTATTGACTTTATCACATGCTCTAATTTTCAGACTTGCTCTGCCTACGATACTGTAAACTCTTGGAGGAGGGTATTATGTTTTAATCATCTTTGTGTCCCCAGTGCTTAGTACATAGTGTGTGCTCAATAAATTTTTAGTGATACTTGGGTTTTATCATTAGGCTGAAATTAATACAGTACTTAGCAGACAAATGAGACGGCAAGAACCTCGCCATGACATTGTTGAGTCTTTGCTCTAACTTATCCTTCCTCTGAACTTTACAATTAGAGGAGCCAACAGCCCCCCTTAATGTTTAAGCCGTTTGAGTCAGATATTTGTCACTATAAGAAATACAAGAAGGGGTCTCCCTGGTGGCCCAGCGGGTTGAGCGCAGCGCTGTGAAGCTGTCCACAGCCTCTGCAGCGTGGGTTCGATTCCCAGCCGGCCAGGGAGAGTCCCACAAGGCGCGGCAGACCTCTCCTGCCTTGCCCGCTGCTCCCCTCAGCAGTGAATTTCGGCCCTTGGCCATACTTACCCTCATTCAGGTGGGTAGGATAGGAACAGGTGATTTGGTATTTCACAGTTTTCTTCCTAAAGCTGTACTTTTTTGAAACCGGGTTTGAAGCATTCTTTCCAGCCCAATATTAGAGCTGACACTCCAGGCCACTTTCAGCCCCAGGGGACATGGGGGGTTTCAGAGAACCTAGTGCCTGGCTCCTGGCCCCAGGTCCAGTCTTCATCGGTGACTGCGGAGCCTTGTTCCCTGAAACCTAGTGAACAGCCCTCAGTGGAAGTGCAGTGGCCAAGAGGTCACAAAGCACCTCCCCCACCCAGGCCCTGCTGCCTGCAGCCAGGGAGAGGGTCTCACAGTGTGCTGGAACAGCCCTGTACACGGCGCCGTGGAAATGCTTGGACATGTTCTTTGAGAATCCAGAACCTGTGCATCCATTATAGCCAGAGAGATGGTTCCCTTCCTTCCAGAATCACGGGTACAACAGCTTGGTTTCTCCTGGAGAACATTCCAGGCAGAGGCAGGCAGCTGACTGTTCCTCGCCTCCTTCCTCGGGGCTCAGTGTGTGTCCCCTTGGGTGCCCTGCTCTACCTCTGGTGAATTCTCTTTCCATCCTATGCCTCTGGCCTGTACCCCAGTGCTTGTATAAATAAATAAATCTTAAAAAAAAAAAAAAGAAAGAAATACTAGGTGTGGCTAATACACCTGGTTTTATAAAAGTAAAAAATTATGTTTTCACATTAACAATTTTTAAATACATTAACTTTTTTATTTAACAAATACATATAAGCCTCTATTATAAACAAGGTGGATTTCCCAGAGGTGGTTGTTTGGCTCCCAGCTGCAATACTTCCTTAGTCAACAGGGGACAAGGAGAAGAGAAACAAATTATTTGTATAATTTGAGTTTGTATTAATGTTTGTGAGACCAATACATTGTTAATATAACTTTAAAAATCACTAATGAAAGTAATTTGTAGGTGAAAATACTGATTAAAATGCATATGTTTGCTTATTGTTTTCAAGTTTCTGAAAACTTTGTGCTCTGAGGCATATATTTTGTTTATGATAAAATATAGCAAAATTCCACAAACAGATTTTGAATTTCTGTATGATTGAGGACATACAGTTTCTGCCTTCAGGGAGTTCATTGTCTATTGGGTAATAGACATAAGAATAATTACAATGCTATTGTGGAAGTGCTGTAATGGAGATATATGTACTGAGTGTGATGGAATGAAAGGAAGGAGACATTACTTGATCTTGGGGGTGTCTAAGTGTCAATGGCAACATTCTAAGCTTTCACTGTAATAGATCTCTTTATCCATTACTTGTACCTCCTGTAGTGAACTAGTGTGATTGCCAAGTATATCCTGCAGTACAGAAGTCCTCTGAGAACACATCGCTTCCTGATGATAATGTTATCGTGGTACAAAATATTATTTATTCCAAAATATTTGGAAAATAAAAATGTAGTTAGTGCAGAGACCAAAGATTATAAGTTTGTATTATGATTTCTGTTCTCCCATTGCTTTACATGTAACCAGTGGGCTTTACCATAAGTATGTCTACATCAGCAAAGGAATTTGAATGGGTATTCCCCCAGGAGTTTATCACTTTAATAATAGATTAGAGCATGGTTAGTTGTGTTTGTGGGTGGAAATGGAGAAGGGCTTAAATGCCACATTCTTGAGAACCGTGTCTGTATTTCAGACTTGGTATTTAACAATAGTCGAATAATGCATACCAGTTTCTAATCTCAATTGTCTATTGTTATATCCAGTTTACTGGTGTTCTTGACTGTTTATTCCTTTTGTCTCAATTTAGTAAGATTTTTAAAAAATGATTCTTTTTAATAGTCAATGACTATACCTGTGTTCTTTTTTCAAAATAAATATAAAGTAGATACATTTAAAGGTAAATTAATATTAGGAGTAAAAGATAAATTTTATTATTAGAAGGAATTTTAAAAGTAACAATTTTTTTTTAATTAGTCTGATCCTTTTAGTGAAATTACCTTTGTTTTCATTATAACTTTCAGAAAATTAGATTCTAAGAGACTGTTGAACTGTGTTCTTTGGAATGAACTGAGAACAAACTCATTTTTATATTAACTTATTTTTGTATTGTGGTTCCTCTATATTTTTGGTTTGTGTTTTTATTTTATTTTATTATTATTATTATTTTTTGCATAGAAGAACTGGGGTATAGGCCAGAAGTGTGGGGGGTGAGAGGATTCACCAGAGACAGATTGGGGAGCAGAACAGGCAGATTGACTGAAATACACTGCTAAGGGGAGCAGCAGGAGAGACAGCAGGCTCCATGCAGGCCAGCTCCTTGCCTGGGGATCAAACCCAAGCTGTAATGGTGATAGTACTGAGACTGAATGCCTAGGCCACCAGGGAGGCCCTGGTTTGTGTTATTTTTAAAACTGATAAAGAATGGATATATTATATACCTCTGAGCCTCACCACTAATTAAACTATGGTTCTTTTTTATTCCTTACAGGCTTCTAAGGGAAGAGATCCATACAGATGTTACTTTCTCTATAGGTTGTACTTTGTTCAGAGCACACAAAGCAGTCCTTTTAGCCAGGGTTCCTGACTTCTATTGCCATACTGTTGGACAGGCATCAAATAATTTAGCAAATCATGAGCCAGTTGCTGTGGAGAACTTTGAAGCTTCAGAATTTAGAACATTTTTACAGTAAGTGCTTTATCCCTTTTTCTCTTAATATTTAAGTCTAATATGTAATTGGTTATTTTTTTAAGCATAGTTGTATATGGATGTTTTTATTTCATGTATTTTCCTGTTTTATAACATTCTAAGAAAAATCCATTCATTAAAATTCCAAATTATTTTAGTAATTCGTATTAGAAGAGGCTTAATATTAGTAGTAGCATACTAGAAGCTTAGTATTGGGAGAGGCTAAGTATGAACTTGAGATTGATCAGGGAAAGGGGAATGAATGGTGTGCTCTCCAGTAATTTATTTTTTATTTATTTTTTAAAAGTATTTATTTATACAAGCACTGGGGTACAAACCAGAGGCACAGGAGGGTGAGAGAATCCACCAGAGACAGAGCAGGGAGCAGAACAGGCAGAAGGACCGAAATACACTGCTGAGGGGAACAGCAGGCGAGACAGGAGAGGTCTGCCTCACCATGTGGGCATCTCCCTGGCTGGCCGGGAATCGAACTGGCCCCTTGGGGGCTACAGACAGCCTCACAGCGCTGTGCTCTACTCGATGCACCACTGGGGAGGCCCCTCTCCAGTAATTTAAATGAATCAGTCTGCTGTGGTTTCTCAGCAATGGCACAACTGATATTTTAGGTTCCATAAATTTTTGTTATTTTGTACATTTTAGGATGTTTAATTGCATCCCTAGCTTCTAAATTCTAGGTGCTAGTATCACTTGCCTTTCAGCTCTCTCCTCCCCCCAGAAATGACAATCAAAATGTCTTCAGGCATTGACAGATGTCCTCTGGATGATAAAATGCCCTCGATGTGAACCATTGCTATATACTGACTTCTGTAGTATTGATGTGCAAAACTTTATTATTTTTTAATTTTTTTAAAGATTTATTTATTTGTTTATTTATTTATTTATTTATACAAGCACTGGGTACAGTTAGAAGCGCGGGAGGGTGAGAGAATTCACCAGAGCCAGAGCAGGGAGCAGAGCAGGCAGAAGACCAAAGTACACTGCTGAGGGGAGCAGCGGGCGGCAGGAGAGGTCTGCGTGCCATGTGGGACCCTCCTCCGTTGGCCGGGGAGCAGCCAGGGATCGAACCGGCACTGCTGTGCCACCGGGGAGGCCCAGATGTGCAAAACTTTAGATAAATTATGTATGTTTATGAAATATGAGATCATAACTTTTTATTCTCATGGCTTGTATATGGTCAAAAGTGGAACATCTTGAAATGAGATATTCTTTGAAAGTAGAACATCTATTGATCTTGTTAGTAGTTTGGGCAACTTGAGTTTGGTGAACTTAGAGAATTGTCATTGGCTAAATAATGGGATAAATTAATTCTAATTCAAATGGAATAGAATTCCATTTTAATGCTTTACTGTTGTCTACACATTACATGTAATTATTTGATACTTATTTTTGCTAAATGTTTGTGAGGGGAGTATTTTTTAAAACTTCTGTGAAAATTGTGTCTCTTTTTTAAAACTGTAGTTAAATGACTTTAGAGAAGCAGCATAATGTCTAAGAACATGATCTGTAGGGCTAAAATACCTGGTTTAATTTAAGCTCTGCCAAGTGGTAGCTTTGTGCTTTAAATTTAACCTCTTTGTAACTAGTATTTCCTCCTATGTTAAATGCAACAGTGTTTGGATATCTTGAAGAGTTTATCTGTATTTCATTTAAATAATTTAAACCCTGCCTACCCATAGTTTTTTCCTTTTTTCCAATATATGAAAATTAATACTGTTCTAGTAGTATTTTTACGGTTTTCTGTCCCGCTGTCTCTCACGTACACTTATTCAATGGATGTTTGTTGTTCTCTATTATGGGCAAAGCCCTGGGTGAAAGGCTCCTTTTGCACTGATTATTGATTCTTTATTTCAGCATTTGATGGTGATAAGTAATTGTGGAGCTAAGTTTTGAAGCTGAACTGGCAATTATGTAATTGTATAGTAGTACACATTTGTCAACTGCCAGTTTTAAAAGCATCTTTGTTGAGATAGCGTATGTATATTACAGATATGATTCACCCATTTAAAGTTTACAACTCAGTGGTTTTAGTATTTTCACTGTGTCATGCAGCCATGACCACAGTTTAAATTTAAGAGCATTTTCAACACCCCTAAAAGAAACATTCTCATTAACTGTCACTCTCCATTTCCTCACCCCACTGTCCTAGCAACTAATCTACTTCCTGTGTCTGTGGATTTGCCTGTTATGGACTTCTCACATAATGGAATCTTGCAGTTTGTGGTCTCTTGTGACTAGCTTATGTCATTAAGCATAGTGTTTTCAAGATTCATCCATGTTGTTGCATGTATTAGTACTTCATTTCTTTTTATTGCCAACAATATTCCATTTTATGACTGTACCACATTTTGTTTATCTATTCATCAGTTGGAATTTATGTTGTTTCCACTTTCTGGTTATTATGACCAATGCTATTATGAACATTGGTACGTAAATTTTTGTGTGAACTGATGTTGTCATTTCTCTTGTGTATATCTCTATGGGAGGAATTACTGGATCATATGGTAACTGTATTTAAATTTTTGGGGAACTGCCAGACTCTTTTCCCAAAGAGATTATATCATTTTACATTCCCACCAGCAACATATGAAGGTTTCAGTTTCTCCACACTGTTGTAACACTTTATTATCTTCTGTCCTTTTTATTATAGCCATATTACTGGATATAAGGTGGTATCTCCTTACGGTTTTCATTTGTATTTCCCTGATGGCTAACAATGTTGGCATATTTTCATGTGTTTGCCATTTGTATATTTTCTTTGGAGAACATTCTATTCACAGCCTTTTCTCATTTTTCAGTTGAGTTATTTGTCTTTATTATTATTGAGTTATAAGACTTCTTTGTATATTCTGGATATTAGGCATATGATTTACAAACATTTTCTCCCATTCAGTGGGTTGTCATTTTTACTTTTTTCTTTTTTATTGAATATTGATTTATAATGTAGATTTCACATGTATAGCCTTTACAAATCAACATCTGTATATGCTACATTATGTTTGTCACCAAAATTCTGGTTTCCATCTGTCACCATATAGATATATCAATTCTTCTTTACCCTTCCCTTTGGATAACTGCTTTTTTTGTTCTTACAGTCTAAAAGTTTTGTTTGTTCATTTGTTTTGTTTATTTTACATGAGTAAAATGAAATGATGTTTGTCTTTCTCCATCTGATTTATCTCACTAAGCCTGATATACTCTAGTGAAAATGACAGGATTTCGCCTTTTTTATAGTTGAGTAATACCCCATTATGTATTTATAGGCATGCATCATTAGATGATTTCTTCATTGTATGAACATCATAAATTGTAATTATATAAAATCTAGGTGGCATAGCCTACTGCCCACATATGTGTTGCTAGTCTTTTAGTTATTTGCTGACATACTTTTTGCTTGTAATTAAAATCACATTGACTTTAGTATATAAAGTTCTTTGGGGGGGATTAAATTTTAAGTTTATTTATATGATTTGTTCCTCATTTTATCCTCTGATAGTTACTTGAGTGGTCTTGGGTGAGTGATCTATTATTGGGTTTTTTAAAAATTATTTAAGAGTTTCTTGTATGAAGCTTTTGTAAGCATTTGGAAGATTGCCAAACTCAGCTTCCTTTATGTCTAAAAATAACATAATATCCTATAAATTAAACTGATACTTTTAGCACAATTTAGAAAATCATTATCATTTTCCAGTATAGATCATAGATCATTGAGTTCCCAGCTGTGAATTTATTTATTTATTTTAAGATTATTTATTTATGCATACAAGAACTAGGGTGTAAGCCAGAGGTTTGGGGGTGGGGAGTGGAGAGAGGATTCACCAGAGACAGAGTAGGGAGTAGAAAAGGCAGATTGAAATAACTGCTGAGGGGAACAGCGGCCATGTGTGCACTGGCTCCCTGACCAGGGATCAAACTCGTAGTGCTAAGACTTAACCCTTTGCACCACCAGGAGTTCCCCCAACTGTGAATTTAATTTATCTATGGCTATATATATATATTTTATCCTCCTTAGTAGGTGGTGTAATGGTGGTGTTGGTATAGCAGATTCTGTAGTCAAGCCAAGTGCACTGCTTCTAACTGTGACCTTGGAATAATCACCATCAATTTCTTCACCTGAAAAATAGACATAACAACAATACCTGCTTGGGCCTCCCCGGTGGCGCAGCAGTTGAACAGTTGAGCGCTGGGCTGCAAAGCTGCCCGCAGCCTCTGCAGTGCTGGTTCAATCCCCAGCCACCTGAAAGGATCCCACATGGCGTGAAGACCTCTCCTGCCACGCCTGCTGCGCCCCTCAGCAGTGTATTTCGATGGTCTGCCTGTTCTGTTCCCCTCTCTGGCTCTGGTGAATTCTCTCGCCCTCCTGTGCTTCTGACTACAGTGCTTGTATAAATATATAAATAAATCTTAAAAAAAAAAAAAACAACCAGTACCTGCTTATAGTGTTGAGAGGATTAATTGAAATGTTTATAAAGCACTTTAGCATGATCTGGCATATATATATGTTAATAAGCATTATTCATTGTTGTAGGCCATATCAAAGTATAGATTTCCTTAACTATTGACTGTATGTTTAGAAATAAAGTATTTAGGATAGGTCAACTTTTTTTTTAAAGATTTATTTTTCATTCATACAATGAATGAAGCTAAGGTACACGCCAGAGGCACGGGAGGGTGAGAGGATTCACCAGAGACAGAGTGGAGACCAGAACAGGCAGGTGGACTGAAAGCACTGCTGAGGGGAGCAGTGGGCGGGACAGGAGAGGTCTGCTGCACCCTGTGGGAATCTCCCTAGTGGGCCGGGAATCGAACCCGTGCTGCAGAGGCTGCGGACAGAGGCTGCTCTGCAGCGCTGCACTCAACCCACTGTGCCACTGGGGAGGCCCGGGATAGGTCAACTTTTAATTGATGTGACATTGCATTATACTGTTATGTAAGTTTATAAAAAACCGTTTGTATTTACTACATTAAGTTTACCACTAAAA